GTAAGGACTCATTGTTCATTTGGAACCAAAATCTTCTATGCATGCCATTCCACACTTTTGATTTTTTTGAATTTTTTTTTTCTAGGTAAACAGTTTAAACTCGTGTCAAGGAGTGTAATAAATTTTTTTTTTTTTTTTTTTTTTTTTTCCGAGAGATAGTTTAAACTCGTATCAAGGAGTTTTTGATTTTTTTTTTTCCCAAGTATACAATTTAAACTCGTGTTAAGGAGTGCCAATTTTTTTTTTTTCTTCAGGTAGATAGTTTAAACTCGTGTCAAGGAGTCTCATCAATAGTTTAGGCTTATATCTGGGAGCACCATCAACATTTTAAGCTCGTATCTGGAAGCATCTTAACTTTAATAATTTTCTTTAACTTTGCAAGAATCAGACGACAATCCAAGCTTATATTGGAGGGCACGAACTATCTCGTCGTCACTTTGAGGATTTTCTTCTTGGATTCCTTGACCTAATGCCCCCTGTGATTTTGCACTTTCGGTTGAAGTCATTATTGTAGCATGGTATGTTTCTTGATGCAAGTCTTTCGAGATTATGCTTATAATGAAAGATGAAGCTATTTCGTCATCCGAGTTAGGAAGTATATTGTCTTTTTATTCGGACTCACTTCTCTCATCTTCTTGAAGGTTGTCGGATATATCAGGAGCATCTTCTCTAGCACTATGATTTTCCATGATAAGCTCCATGTCGTGGGCTCGAGTAACAAGCTCTTCAAATGTGTGAGGCTTAATCCTTTGTAGGATGTAAAGAAGTTCCCAGCGCATGCCTTGCATACATGCTTCAACTGTAGAAATTTCAGACAAACGATCTTTATAGTCAAGACTTAGAGCTCGCTAACGGTTGATGTAGTTAACCACGGGTTCACTCTTCATTTGTTTTGTATTTTTAAGTTCCAGCATACTAATAGTACGACGAGTGCTATAGAAATGGTTGAGAAATTCTTGTTCCATCTGCTCCCAACTGTCAATACCTCCAGCTTTGAGGTCTGTGTACCAATCAAATGCATTCCCTTTGAGGGAACGAACGAATTGCTTGACAAGGAGATCTCCGTCTGTACCAGCATTGCTGCAAGTCTCTACAAAGTGTGCGACATGTTGCTTGGGATTGCCTTTTCCATCAAACTGTTGAAGCTTTGGAGGTTGATACCCAACCGGCATTTTTAAAATATCAATTCTTTCTATGTAAGGCTTTGAGTACATGTGAGCACTTTGAGGGATACCATTGTATTGTTCTCTTATGCAATTCACTATCATGTCTTGAAGTTGTTGGACAGAAAGTAAGGTGACAGAGGCAGCATCAGTTGTTAGATTGGCGTACATGTCATTTTGATTATCAATTGGAATGTTCTCTGGCATGGAATTAGAATGAGGAATTCGGTCTTTGCTTGATTCAGCATTGTCGTCACGTAATTTTAACTTTTCTGTCAGGGAGCCAATTTTTAGATCTTGCTCTTTGAGAGAGTGTTGTAATCTTTTAATTGCACGGCCCATAGTCGTCAATTGCTCTTCATACGAGGTAGTATTCGTCATCATGACTGGCATAGTGATGGAGTCAGAAAAAATCTTTGGCCTTGGGTGGACTAGCCTTGAACTTGTGACTGGAGCAACCTTTGAGGTTGTAGGAGCCTTCCTCCTTGCCCCCAGCGAGGTGGAACTTGAACTTGTGACTGGAGTAACCTTTAAGGTTCTAGAAACCTTCTTTCTTGCCCCCAGCGAGGTGAAGGCAGTATGAGTTTGAGTTGTTACTTTGACAGATTTGGCAGAATTGACTCTCACCGCATTGTGCTGTCTTTTGGCAGGAATGGATGATTTGACCATGTTCCACATCATTGAACTTGCAGAGGTGTTTGTACCACTTGACGAAGTTACAACCTTCTTGCCACCTTTTGTGATGGTATTGATGTTGTCCGTCATGACCGCGATGTCTTTGGTAGTATTCTTGCTTTTCGTCTGAATCTTATTGGAAGTCATAAAATCTGACGATGAATTTGTTGAGGATTTGATGTAAGAGAAAGAGATGAGAGGCAGAGGATGTCCCACCGGGTGTGCCAGAAATTTGTACACACAAATTTTGTAAGTCTGCAAATAGAAACAAAATATGGAGCAAATATTAATTTATTAATTTGGAAAATTTGAGTACAATCCTCTGTAATAATATTCTTTAAAAAAAGAATGGTCCTCTGATTCGATCTCCTTTTTGTTGTTGGTTGGATCCAAGGGCTGCATGAGCTTATTCTTGAATCACCGTGGAATTTGATGAAGAACGACACGTCGTTGGATGTGCTTGTTGTTGATCACCGTGGAATTTGATGAAGAACGGCACGACTTTTGATGTGCTTGATGTTTTTCACTTTTGGGTTTGGATTCTGAATCTGTGTCTCTGACTTCTGAGTCTCTGGATTTCTGGACTTCTGAATTCTGAATTTGTGTCCTTTATTTCTGGACTTTTGAATTCTGAATTTGTGTCTGAATTTCTGAACTTGTGAAGTCTGAATTTGTACCTGAATTTCTGAACTTCTGAATTCTAAATTTGTGTCCTTTGTTGAATTTGAGGAAGAACGGCACGTCTTTGGATGTGCTTGTTGTTCTTCATTTTCAGAGAGGAGAGAATTTGTTGAATTTGGTGGACTTTGAATGTGCTTTGTATTTTTCGCCTTCAGGTTTGCCCTCGGGATTTCTAGCCTTCTGGATTTCTGGATTCTGAATTTCTGAATTTTTATCCCCCTTCTCCCTTCCTCCAGGCCTCTATTTATATGCTTCTTGTGTTGATAGGATAATGACACGTGTCATCTCCTGATAAGGATAAAATTATAATTAGGCCGGGCCGGTTATATTATGATAATTATCCTTAAAAATAATTATTCCAAATATATTTTATTAGGAATAATTATCTTTTTGTTTAACCATCTGGGCTGGGCTAATTAAATAATTTAAGTGGACCAAACTTGGACCAATTAAATAATTTAATTAAACATTAGGCCCATATTTAATCTATCCATTTGTCAACACCAAAACCCACTAAAATTTTAGTATCTACAGAGGAGATTTGGGTAATACCTTGGACTCTACCATCGATGGGTTCCATAAAAGCTTATTATGATTTTGTCCTTCAACTATAGACAAAATCAAGCCATTGCAAGAACCCACCTTGACCCAGTTCGTGGTTGGGAAATCGAGCTTCGTTGCAGTCACGGCATCGCCTATTCAATGCTTCAGTGCAGTCGACTGAGTAAAAAGAGCCACCACCATTGAGAATGACTTTCTCATGTTTTGTTGTTTTGATTGAGGTGTGTTTTGATAAAACCAGGGTCTGAGATTATAGTGCGCCATTGCTTCGATACACACTTCGATCGGTAGAGAGACACTCACGGGAAGACGAGAAAGTATGTCAACCACCATCTCCTCGAGAATGTGTGCTCCGTTCAGCATTGCCATCTTCACAGAAGAGGGCTAGGGCTTATGGTAAAAGAGGAGGGTTTTTGTGAGCTAATATGCAAATTGATTTTTAACGTAGGAGTAAATTACTAGATTTACTGTTTTTTATTTTAATTCGTCCTTTATGTAAGAAGAGTACTGCTCCTTATCGAAAAAAATAAAAATATATGTATCTAATAGATACATTTTAAAATATAAAGTAATTAATTATTTAGAAAGTTATTGGCTATTAAAGTTTCAATGTATATTAAATTGTATGTATATATATATATATATCGATGCAATGTAAGGAATGCTGAAATGTTTCAGATTGCATATCTTATTTATAATTAGACCGTGTATCCTTGTTATGTATAAAAGATTGTGTCTTTAATCATTAATATTAATTTATTACTTTGATAGGCAATTTGTTCATTGCTATAATGATCAATGTGACTCAAAAATAAGAACAAGGAGAGGAATTAAATTTTTTTTTTTTTGCAAAGTTGTTAAAAAATTGTAAAACATTGCAGTTTTTGTTCTAGATTTTGTATCGAATTATATTTTAGTACTATGAAAGTTGCTGTAAAAACCGAAAAAAAAAAAAAAAAAAAAATTGACTTGGCTAACTAAAAATAACTGAAAAGATAAGAAAAAAGATATTGATGTATGTTATGGAAACAAACAAGAGTAGTAGATTAGTAATGATGCCTATTTAAGTTGAATTATAGAATAACTAGAATATTAAAGTGGTCAATAATATTATTTTTAATTTTTTTAAAAAATAATAATTTAATTGACGACAATAGAACCCGATAAATTTTTTCACAAATTGGGTTTGCATATCTCTAAAATGTATTGAAATACTTTTATAAGAATTCTATAAGAAATTAATTTTTACAAAATTTAGAACAAAAATTTCTTTTGAAATTTTGAATACCAACAAAAATCGATGATTGAAGAATCTAAATTCTTATTTTATTAATATGTTTGTGTTTTTTATTTTATTTTATTTTTTATCATAGTTATTATTTTGTTAAATTTTCAATTATTACTTTCTTTGAAAGTTAATTTTGCTTTTTATCTTTTCGGTAAGTAAATAGAGTTATTTTTGTTAATTTATTTTTGGAGAGTTTTTGTTTTGAAAGGCATTTTATATTTTGGTTTTATATTTCTTATTCTTACACTATCACGTGAAGTACATAAAGTATCGATTTTGTATTTGTCGTATTAAATAACACTACTCATTTAAGATATAAGAAAGTAAGGCCCTTCACTTACTTATATTTTACATAAATAATTTATCAAAAGCAATTCACTACTACTCTTCCGGCCTATTGGCTTGGATTTTGAATGGAAAAAGATCGTTTAATTTGTCATTCAGAAACAGTTTTATGTTATCAGTACAACTGAAGAAGAATTTTGCATGTCTCTTACGTTAAAATAAATAAATAAAATACATAAATATTTCAACTGTCTTAATAAATGTGGGACTTAAAATATCTTTGTATACACTGCTTCCAACTTCCCATTCAAGGCATTACAAGTTGCGTTTACAACAAGGTGGGGCTATAAAGGCCACACACACAAAACTTATCCCAAACAAAAGAAAAGGAATCTATGAAGCAGAGAGAGTAAGATAGAAAGCCTAAAGACACAGCCACTGTCATGTCTCCTTCCTCTTCTTTTGCTTCCTCTACTGCTGCAAATGTGTTTGAAATTGGGAACTACAAAACTGTGCTTCTAACTGCTGAACCGCAGAGATATTGCAACAGAACCAAGTCTTCACCAACTGTTGCTCCTCCTCCTCCAAAGCCACTTTTGATTGCCACACCATCAGAAGCTGGAGAGTTCCCAATACTGGTGATCCTCCATGGTTATCTTCTCAACAATTCTTTCTACTCTCAGCTTATCCAACACGTCGCTTCGCACGGCTTCATCGTTATCGCTCCTCAGGTCAGTAACATGTGATTGGAGTGGTTTTTATAGTGATATTGCTGTTACTGGGTGGTGCTTACAATCTTGTAATGTCTAATTTTGATGGGTTTTCTGGTATTTGGCTTTGTGCTAAAAGGTTTTTGCTTTAACAGCCTTGATAAGCCATAACTTTCATAGTAATTGCCTTAATCTTCTACTAGTTTCATACCTTTTTATTTTTCAATGCAATTTTATTTATTTATTTCTTTTCTGGGATCTATGAGTTTCCCTTTTTGATTGCATTTGTTTGTCAAGAAAGGCAAAAAGATGTGAAATTAATCATTCTCAAAGATGCTTAAGAACCACTCTCTATGATGTGACACACTTTCTTATTAATTGGTAGCATACAAAAAGTGACAGTAACTACTACTTGTCACATTGTGCCCATGTCAAGACATCAATGTTTTTGTCCCAATTGATTATGTGCTTTAAAGTCTATATGGCATACCAATCTTTTCTTGTTTTCATACCTGAAGCAGCTAGCTTTTTGAACTAAACTGTCCTAGTTTCACACACAGTAATAAGAGTGGTATGACTTGAGTAATTGCACATCAGCTGAAACCATTAGTTGCTACTAGCTAGTGTGTCTCTCCTTGTAAAGGGCATGTGTTACATGAAGCAAAGTTGAACTAAACTCCATTACATGATATGTTTACATAAACACACATTAAGATTTCGTCACACACAAACACACACAAAACACATACTGACACACACATTAAGATTGGGATTCATTGTCCAATGGTTTCAATTTTCTTGTCAAGTTTAAAAATCAACTTGATATAATGCACAAACTAAAATCTATAGGGTCAAGAATCTTATATGATAGTAGACCAATCATTCCTTGTATTGAAATGCTATAAATTTTGAAATTTCTCAATCTGCACAGCCACAAATATGTTTCAAGTCAAGCATGAAACCATACCAACTAGATGTCTGGCTCATATTTCTGTCTGGTACATTTTTTATTTTTTTAATTTTTTTTAATTATTGCATTGCACAGTTATATACAGTGGCCGGACCGGACACTACAAGTGAAATCGAGTCCACGGCTGCTATAACGAACTGGTTGTCAGGAGGACTCCACAAATTACTTCCAACCCATGTGCAACCAAACTTGAGCAAGCTTGGACTTGCCGGTCACAGCCGTGGAGGCAAGGTTGCTTTTGCACTCGCTCTTGCAAAAAAGGCCACCACTTTAAAGTATTCACTGCTAATAGGCATTGATCCAGTTGATGGAATGGACAAAGGGAAACAAACTCCTCCACCAGTACTCACCTATGTGCCTCATTCCTTCGATCTTGACATGGCAGTGATGGTTATTGGCTCGGGTTTGGGTGAAGTGAAAAAGAACCCTCTCTTCCCTCCTTGTGCTCCCAAGGGAGTGAACCATGAGGACTTCTACAACGAATGTCGGAAACCGGCTTGTTATTTTGTGGCCAAGGACTATGGGCATCTTGATATGCTGGATGATGAAACTAAGGGGATTAGAGGAAAGACTACATATTGTCTGTGCAAAAATGGCAAGTGTAGGGAACCCATGAGGAGGTTTGTTGGAGGGGTTGTGGTTGCATTCATGAAGGCTTATATGGAAGGTGATTCAAGCCACTTAATGGGTATTAGAGAAGGGCATGGGATTCTGCCTTTGGAGCTCCAAAAAATTGATTTTCTTGTGTGAAATTTTGGATACTCTTGACAGAAGTAGAGAAGCTTTGTTGTGTTGTTAACTTGCAGATGATTTTTCTAATGCAGCTATATATATATATATATATATATAGAAAGATAAATAGGAACAGGTTGTGCTAGAGGGATGAGGATCCTCTCCTGTTTCTTTTGTGATCCTGTGTTGTGCGTTTAAATCGACAACACAACTTTAAATCTTCTCTTCTCCTGTTTTTTTTTTTTTCGAGATCAAATCTACAACACAACTTTAAATTATCAACGAAATAATTATTTATAAGTGTTTTTTCTGAATAGTTACTTCTTAAAAATGTTGAATTCTCGATTTAATAATGCTACAGCATTATAACAAGTTATAATATGTTATACTACTAGTATATTTGATGTAAATATTACATTGTTGCTACATAGATGTTGCATATACAATGTAGTGTATTTCATGTTGATTTAGCATCTTTAAGGAACTGTCTCTTCCAAGAGCTCATTAACCAACTCTCTTCTAGTTAATTCACAGGATAAAAAAAAAAAAAAAAAAACGAACGAAACGAAGTTTGACGGGTGACGCATATTATAAATAAATTTGTTTCGGCATAAAACTCTTATCATTATTTATATAAAGACGTCAAAGATGCTCTCATGAAGTAAATAAAAATAATAATACCTAGTAATATAAACCAAGGCATAACCACGAAACGTTGACGTACCTTTAGCGTTTAACCAGAGTGACTGGTCTCGCGCCTTAAACCACTCAGATCATAAACTCTCTCTCTCCCCTCTCTCTCACTAAACCATTTACAACCACTTAGATCAGTAAACTTCTCTCTCTCAAAGCAGTTACAGACCACTGAGATGGGCAGATTTTACTCTCCCTAGATAAGGGATAAAAGATGATGAAGATTAGTTATTTGGTTCACTTGGCTCAACCTGCTTACTTTTCTTCCTCTGTTCCACACTCCTTCAACCTTTAAAACATCGACCCATTAATATTCTCTTTTCACGCCACCCCCACTGCAATCTCTTCAATGGACATTGGGTCATAGACCCCAAACACAGACCCGTGTGCCACGGGAAAAAATATACAATATTCGGGATACTTGCATGTGACACCCTGTCTAATAAAAATCCTCTATTTTCTTTGATGATAAGAACATGAAGGTTTTCAAGAGCAACGGTACCACGTGTCAAGTACCTGACTATTGTATACTTTCTTGTAAGCAATTGTCCATTTCACATCAAATCTGGACAAGAACACGAGAAAAAAGTATACAATATTTGGGATACATGGTACCCCGTTTAATGAAAACTTTTTATTTTATACTTTCTCGTACCATGACGGCTGTCCATTTCACATCAAATATGGAGCTGCTCGAAGAAGAAGAGACATAACATGGGTCATCCTGGAAATGGAAGAGGAAGCGTGCTTGGATTGCATACCATCCAAAATTTAATGTTACAGGTGCGTATCACCAAGCTGTATTGCTCGCCAAATTCCAATAAGATTTTCATGGAAATTTGTCTTAGAATTAATTAATGTTCTTGTGGATTATTTGATATCTGGGGTATTAATTAGCATTAGTTAATAGATGCAGTTGAAATTTGGAGGTACTGATTTTTTGTTTTGTTAAATTTTGTCGGGATCAAATTTTTATTATTGTTTTTTTAATCTAAAGCATTGAATTTAGGCATTTTATTATTATTATTATTATTATTAGTTAAAGAACAAATTAAGGGTAAAACTGTACTTGAAACAATAAAGGATAATTTAGAAAATTTATTTTATCAATTTAAAGGAGGGGGTGCCGGAGCAAATTAAACCCTTAGTGAAACTTAAAAGTTTGATCGGATAACAATAAACCCAAAGTGGCGACTGTCCGAACATTTAACCCTATTTTTAATGTGCCTAATAGATGAATATTCAACCCTTAGTGAAACTAAAAAGTTGGGTGGTCTTTTAGGTTTAAAATAATAAAACAATAAAAATAATGTATATATAAATATACATAAGATGGCGAATAATAATAATAATAAAGCAGCTCTCTTAGTTTTCTTCAAGTTTTGAAGACCTTCAGATGCAGCCATATTTGCAAGAGAAATCCTAAAGGCCTTGTAGTGTTCTACCAACCATGCAAAGTAGAATCGAGCCTAAAAAAACAGATTGACCTCACACATTTTCCTGAAAAGTTGATCAGCTCTTCATAAAATTTATTAACACTTTTTTTCTAAGATGATCCAGGACAAATAAGTATTCTTAGTTCGAAAAGCTATCGAATTTAAAGTCCTCCGATCTCCTCGATCCAAATTCACCTTCTCTTGATGCATTCCAAAATAGTCATGCCATTCATGAAACTCTTCCTATGATCACTATGCAACCTTCAATCAATCTTCAATCATGATCGTCACTATGAAACAAAGGATCATCAATTATGACACGGGTTGCGATGCAAAATCACAACACGGATATTGAGTCCTCATTTTAGGAATGCAAAGAACCATTGTTGAGAACTTCCCACACAATGATTCTTTGTTGCACTATTTACTTTCACAAGTACAAACACTTCGACGAATAAATTTACCTCATGGGTAATTTATTTGTATATATTTTTTATCTGATCTTCGTATTGAGCTACAACACTGTCCCTCCGGATTTTCATTGTTGGAGTCATTAAACCACTATCAATCTGCAATTCAAGAAGAAAGGTTAACAATCTGTGACGTAAAATAGGAATATTGTTGACTGCGTTGGTGTGAACAATTTTTACCGTAAAAGGCTCGTCAACAACAAGGATTGGCCCAATTTGAAATGAACAATCTGAAGTCCTGCATGACGTAAAAACTGGTTAGCCTTTTTATAATGCACACAAAACTGAGAATAAATTCATGAATTAAGATAATTTTGTAATTTCAGTTTTTAGTAGGTATAAGTAGAGGAACCGAGTCATCAACCCTATTAAGGACTAAACTCTCTCCCATCATCAGCCTTTCAAAGTTCCATTTCTTCTCTTCCTTGCTTTCTGTTCTCTCTTCTAACAAGAAGATACTCTATTGAAAGAAGAGGTTAAAGAGATGTAATTTGATATTGTTGCTACAATAATGATATCAAAGGCGTAGAAAAGAAGGAAATGATTGGGTATAAATCAATTTAAGGATATGCCATATAAACTGATTTTAGCACTAACTGATTTGGTCATTTAGGAATAATTGAGAAGCTTGATTTTATAATATCATCTACATTAATCCAAAGAAAGAGCAAAAGGAAATATCATTTTTGAACTTCTCATCATAATCAAGGGTTTAATTTGGAATCTCATGAATTCAAATACTTGGAACACTTCAAACTCAATGTTGAGTTTCTAATAAAACAATTCACGGGAAAGTCTATTTAATTTTAGGGTAAATTAGACTGACCTTCCCTGAGGTTTTGTCAAATTACACAGTCCAAGGAATGACCTAATTTGACCCTAGGATAGTGTATGGCTCGGTGTAGGTTGAGTAAGATCATGTTTTCAAAACTTGAGCATACTAGTCTTATCAAGTTTCAAAGTTTTCTGAACTTACTAGAGTATTAGGAAATGTTTTGAAAAAACATGCATACAAGTTTTAAAGTTACTTCTTCTTCTATTTTTTTTTGTTTTTGTTTTTTTTTTTTGTTTTTTTTTTTTTTTTTTGATAAGTATGTTCTAAAGTTACTTGTATGATAAGAAGAATGTTGGAAATCATTTACTATGTCTTAGGTTCATGCATACATGCTATATATGCTAAGTTTCCAAGTTTCTTAAACTTACTTAGACATTGCTTATGCATTAGGAAAAATGGTCTATCATGCATATATATTTAATTGAACGAGTTTCAAAGTTTATAAACTTGTGTGTATATTGATAATGCATGAAGAAAACTATTTGAACCATTTTACTATTTTAGGCATTTATAAGTTCATTGATCTAAGTAGAAGAGAGCTTCGATCGATCTATCAATGACCTTCAATCAATTGACACTGAATAAGGTGTTGTCGATCTAAAGCTGGAAAACCGCAGATCCATCGACGATGCTACATACATCAATCGATATATAGTTCAGTAGGCTTTGATCGATATTGTTTGGAACCTTGATTGATCAACGCTTACAGTACTATCGATCGACAGACATATGGGTGCTGGAAAAACTTTCCTAAAACATGGTTTCCTTAATCTAAAAGACCTAAAACATGGAGCAAGCTGTCTATCTATAAATATGTGTTTTAGGGCATGAATTCATAATAGAGAGAGGGCTCTTCACAAAGGAGAAGGCTTTTACATGTTTTAAAGCTTTCAACATTAGAAAAGGAGTAGAGGCATTTTACATTCAAGTCTCTTAGGGTTTGTTATATATTCATGTTTCGATTAGAGAATTATAACTTGAGAGTGGGAGTTATATTCTTGGGTAGGATTATTTTTATTTCAATCTAGGAACCATATTGAGTATGCTGAGATGACTGAATATTGATTAAAGAAGCCGTTTTCTATATCAACCAATACAACAAATTTTGTGTGGCTTGGTGTCTTACTGTGTCTAGGGATCAACTAGTGTCCTAAGGGTTGAATGGATCTAGGTTGTACATCTCTTTCCTCATAAAAGGACTGCTTCTGGCCTTAAAAAGGTCACTGTAATTTTTTCTAGTCTCGTTTGAGGGTTTTTCCACGTATATCGGTTGTCTCTAATTCTTGCTTTGCTTTATTTATTTATTTTATTTTATTGCTTTGTCATATTTGTGAATTGAAAATCATTTTTTTTCACAAATATTGAAAAGTAATCATTGGTGGGTAAAGTTATACTGGTTTAAGAGAAATTTGAAGAGGCTACATGGTAAACGATGTTACTACACTTAGGACTTGATTGTCACTGTATAGTCTCAGTCGATAAAACCCTCTCAATAAAACCTACGAAAAGTTGCAGACTAAAATATATATCTTGAAAATCCACTTCTTCCATCATCACCAGGAAATACCACCTTTTAAAACACCCAAAACTGCTCTTCCACATTTGTTAAGGCCCAAGCTCAAACCGCAATAAACATATCCATGAGACAAACATATTTATAACCACAAACTGCCCTGGGAGTACTTCCATAAGAATAAAACTCAAGGCATTGATGGGGGTGACACACACACACACACACACACACACACACACAAAATTGTATAAAAAATTAAAAATGCAAATTATATATAGTATTACTAAAATATTTTGTTTCAAACTTGAGAAAGTAAAAGAAGTGTTACCATTTTCTCAGCTCTTCATACAATAGGCTGGTCATTTTTTCCTTACTAAGTTCAGAGGCATCAGCATCTAAAATAGACAACCTTTTGGCCTTCATTAAAATCTCTTCTTTGCTTGGAACAATTATGGCTCCAAGACGACGTTGATCCTACATATAATTAATGTCAACTCACTTAATAGAGGAAAAATTTATTAATTACTGCAGTACTGGAAGATATTCACGAGAACTGTTTAAGGGAACTAGCTGTATAGTTTAACTTTCACCTGGCCAATTACAACAATCTGTTGAATTAAACTACTCCTCAAGGCAGCTTCTTCAAGCTCAGATGGTTCAACATTTTCACCTATTTTATTGAAAATATTAACCAATCATACTAAGTTTTGACAAGCAAATGGAGTGTTAGAAGACCTGAATAGTTGCAATAACAAAAGAACCTTTTATTAATTGACCACGTATTGTAATAAAAAGTAACATATAAGAAAATTAGTACAGTGGATGTCATAAAAATATTCTAAGATCAAACTGTACTAATTACACAAAGCCGTAAAGAAATGTAACTTAATAGAAAACACTAGAAAGATTATTATAGGACCCATGTCAAGAAAGATTATTATGACTGCAATGAAATACGCCAACAGAAACTGCAAACATGACATACAAAATAAAAATTGACATGCATATGGATTGACTTCCAGTATTAGCAGTGACAACAGAGGACAGTGAAACACATTTGTTCTATTCATCTTTTTCAAAACAGAAGCATGTTCTAATAATTTTTGTGTATATTAATTGATTTGCACTGGGGTTGAATAATTTTTGTGTATATTAATTGATATTAGTGAAAATCTCTAGCATCGTATTTAAATTTTAAACCATGCATGGCTGGAAATGAATCTATTTGTGAGTTGATCTATGGTTTTTTTCTTTTTCCTGCAAAGATGCATACACGACATATTAAAATCAACTGAACAAAAAACAAAAAAAAATAGAAATAGAAATAAAAACTATAATTTCCAAGTTGTCACCATACAAAATCCTAGCCCACAATGTCATAAAAGTGATAGCATACAAATTACCGCAGTAAGCTTCTAACACACCTGTTGAAAGAACTATAGTATCCTTGGCACGTCCTTCGAGAACAATAATACCTCCACAAAGACGACTTCGCCCTTTCGAATGCTCAGGTGCAATCCAACCAATATCACCAGTGTTTAACCAGCCACTCTCATCTAAGGCTTGCTTTGTGGCCGATGGATTCTGATTCAACATTCACAGTCAAAAAAATAGATAAAAAATAAAAATTACATCATGTTAAATTTTAGGCATCCAGAATCAATTGCGCACAACCTATCAAAGAGATAAGAAATTGCAAAACAAGGTAAGATATAAAGAATCAAGATGCAATTCATTGTGAAGATCCTATAACTTGTATTTGTAAAATATTGCAATGTTCTAACTAAATTAAAATGATGACCTATGTCTGGAATAAATTATATAAATGTCACTTACTTTTATATAGTTTATTATTGTTCACCACGGTTGTGTGAACATTAGTACGGTGATTTATAGGAGGATTATTTCTTGTATTTTTTACAGGCTGATGCACGAAGTTGCACACAGATATTCATATCCATAAATATATACCGTGAGATACTAGACAAACAAGGTACCCAAAATGAATTTAAAAGTGAATTGGTAAATCACCAACTAGGGACCCAATTAGAGTATTCTAATGAAATTATATATTAAAAGGTTAATTACCCAGTGTGGTTCCCATTAATCAAGGGAATTGGGAGGGGCAAACTAGATACAGACCTAACATTTGGCATTATTTGGACAAAGTATCTGCTCTTAGGATTTGAACTCACATTCTCATGCTTGACAACTCAAGCATTTTACCAATGCACGAGGCAATGGCCCCTGATTGAATATTATATTCATGGTCAGTAATAGGACAGGAGGATCATACACCAAGGGGTATAAACTAGGATGCAAAGAGACCTTTAACAAAGAGCCTGAGAAAAACTATTAGTTTCTCTATCCATTTTCAAACTAGTGAAAATACTTTAATTTGGAAAGATCTTTCCGCGTCCATCCTTTTGTAGATGCCAAAAAAGAGGAAAAAGAAAATCAGAAGCAGAAGACAGCTTTTTTATTGGAATATTCCATGAAAATAAATCACAAAGCAATAGACACAAATACAGTGGTTCCATTTCTGGAGACAATTTTTGCATGCAGTATATTCAATGTAGTTGTAGCCTTTCTGAGTTAGTGAGCTGCTAAGAAACACAGTCCAGAACCTCAAGGATTAACTTCCTCCGGGAACCAATGAATCAAACAACCAAATGCTTTGTGAGGAATGGAAAACATAGAAGGAAGAAGAGAAAAAAATATGAGAGGCTTGGAAGTTTAGATTTGAAAGGTGATCAATCCATCAATAGATAGTAAATACCATAATAAAAATCCTAGGTGAATACATATAAATAAAATTGATCTTGGTAGTTTAAAAGGACTGTTTTTTTATTTTAGTTATTCCATGATTTTAAAAACATGATGCTATTCCCTCCATCACATGTTCCCCACCATTTCATAAGAATAAGTTACTCTGACCTCCCTCGAGGTTTGTCTAAATTACCCACAAATTAAAGTTTTTGAGAAATAACTCTGACACCCTGTCAGAGTCACGCTGGTAAGAAAGGAGCTACCCAACAGCAAACATCCATTAAAATGGTAAACGGAAGCAATGAATTTACCAAATTACCCCAACCTCTATTACAATAACTGAAGTCATCATTGATGATGTAATCACAATAAAATGATTTTACATAGTTACCCTCTTATACTCATCATTCATCTCCCTCTCACCCTACCTCCATCTGTCCTCCCCACAACCCCAGAACCTCTTTCCACCACCGCCCCATCTCCACCCTGCTGCCACTAATCCCCACCGCCCACTGCACTGCCACTGACCCCCTCCAAAAGTCACCACCATCATGTCCCAGCCAACCCCAATCACCCCAATCAGAACCACTTTCCACCACCAATAAAAAATCTGACTACGCAACTAGGTTTTTTGTTTTGTGGCTCTATTCTAACAACACAAACAAAGCAGCCTTGGAATTGTAGATTTTTAGAGAGAGTGACTTTGTTTTTATCCCTAGAGAGAGAAACAGGGGTTTTGCTTAATTTGTTTGAAGCTCTTTTTGTTGGTGTTTTTCAAGCCTTTTTGTCAATCATCGAAGCTCCGTTTTTTCAATTCATTTGCATATGCATATAGATGCATCCATGCATGCATACATACATACATATATATACCCGCACACAGCAGCACACATATGGGACTACACACCAACACACATGCAGTCACACAACCAAACCCCCAAAAAGTATCTCAGATTCTCCAACGACAAAGTAAAACCCATCATAAGGACCTCCTCCAATCCTTATGGCTTATGCTCTTAATGCTTCACCATACCCAGATCAGTTTTATGAAACCCATGAAAATTGGTAACTGTAACCAATAAAGATCTATGGCTTAATGGAATTTAAGATGCATAAGAAATTTGACGTATTAGAGTGATTTGCAAAGGGGGTGGCAGTGGTGGCCGAATGTGGAGGCGGTTGAGAGAGAGAGGGGCAAACCTCCACTGCTGCATGTTAAAAGCAAGTGTTTTTTTGTCACCGTAATAACCTAGGAAGTGAGGACCAGTTGGCTAGTGTTGCTACACTTCTGGCAAGGCCATTAATTTTGATTGGAAGAATCTGCGATGCCAAGTACATTAGTGATAGACTTATTTGGAGCAAGATAGAAAAGAATTCTGTAATTATGGTTTAATTTCAATTTATGTTTTTAATTGAATAATTTCATTATGTATATTTTATAATTGATAAATTATACATATTCTGTATTACATTACTGTATTTAGTATTAAAAATATTAATTATTAGTAATTTGTTGTCAATGTGATAAAAAGGTAAGGATATTTTTGTCCAAACATTATTGTCTAAGTGGTTATTTCATATGATTAATAAGGTTAATTTTTTCATTTTGCATTGCACAAGGGTAATTATGGTATTTCAATTTACTTCTTTAACTGACTTTAATTCAACTAATGTCTGGGTTGTTCAGAGTAAAGTCAACCAAATATCAGGGGAGGTTGACCAAATTACTCACTAGTTTAATTTGTGAGTAATTTAGAAAAATCTCAGGTGGTTGGAGTAATTTACCCTTTCATCAAACATGAAATAAAACTACCAAGTTGAAGGAGGGTAAGCATCCACAGCATACAATCATGCAACTCACTGGGGGCAAAAAGAAAAAAGAACATACAACCAATGTGCACCTGAGTACTCATTGCAAGTGTAACAAACCATTTGCCGATGATACAAAGCCACGGATCCAGAGGGAAAGGAAACAGTACTGCATAATAACTACAGGTCTAATACTTTTACTCGAGAAAAAAAAAAATGAGAAATTAACTTTCTCCAGTGCTTGGCTTCAGATTCTTTTTAAAACATCTAAACCTTATTGCCATTTAAAAAGGCTTCAATTCCTTTGAACAGCCAATACTTGAACATGCTGCCAAATTTGTTTTCATATCAGTCTATCAAATATTATAAAACACAAGTCTAATTTATATTAGAAAAGATTAATACCTTGTAATATCCCTTCATCACTTGTGGCCCCCTCACTTTTACAATTCCTTTTGAACCAGGAGGAAGAACTTCGTCAGTGTCAGAATCAACGACTTTTATGTCTGTATGTCGAAGTGGATGCCCAATTGAGCCAAGAACCTTCAAAGATTAAATCTGCAACATTGTCATGCGATGTACCATTCTATCTTTATATTCAAACTGTTACAAGATTCAATATTACAGTGGAAGTATAAAATGCAAATTTGGTTTATGTTAAGCAAATAGCACCTATTTCATTATTTCAACATCAAGAAATACACATCCTGGTTCACTGTCCGCATTTGAAGAAGTAAAAACTAATACAGGGAGGAAGTCTAGACCGCCACTGATAGTATCTCTCGATGGTGCTAGTAGCTATTTCCATGTTTTCCCGACAGAAAGTGTTCAAAACTTATTAGTTAGGTCTATTTATTATGCATTTGTGTATATAAAATAACGGACAGCTCCAAAGATCCCCTGCGCCGGTTTCCCCCCCCCCCCCTCCCCCCCCCCCCTCCCCCCAAGGGTGCATCCAGTGGCTCCAGTATTTGTCAGTTCCATGGCATAGAAAACTGATTTCCCAAAATAGAGGCACAACTACGATTTGGCTTCATAGGCAAGCCATGTCAATTGAACCAATCATGTATGTTTCCCTAGGATTTCTCATCAGCAGGAGTAGAACTTCCTCTGTTCCAGCGAGTACATCTACTGATGATAATATTACAAGAAGGATTTCAATGCCATATATAGCAGGCGCAACAGATATCTGTTGCTGATGTTGCCACCTTTGCTCGCATCCTACTTAAGTCATTCCCTTAGGTGTTCAATCACTTTTCATGAATTGGCAATTATTAATGCTCACCCAAAGAATGTATTGCGATAACCAAGCTGTTGTGTATATATATTGCCTTAAATCCAATATTCCATGAGACAACAAACGTATAGAGGTGGATTGTACTTTGTTTGATATGTAGAGATGAATATGAATAGAGGAGCCAGATGATCAAGGGAAGCTCTCTCTCGCTCTCTGTATTTGTGTGTGTGTCTCTTGTAACAAGTTACAGACAAAGGTATTATGTTAATCTCCAAGGACTGTAGCCTAGTGGTATACCCTCACCTTCCAAAGTAGAAGGTTTCGAAGTTGGATACTCAAGGAAATTTCTCAGAAATTGATCGAGAATCAAGAGAAAAAGAAAGAATCAGAATTGATCGAGCAAGTGACAGATTGGGAAAAAAAACGTGAGGTAGATTAACTTCCCAACTAGTCGATGGTACCTACCAGGATCATCAAATAGATCTCCAGGAAAATGATTAAATATTCTGCCTTCATACCTTTGAACTACTCCAGGCACTTCCACTTTATCAGCTAAGATTAATAGAGTCGGCAAGACCCGCAATCGCATCGTCCAGGAATACAGGCACTGCATGGAGTTAAGTCGAAGTGTCAAACTGACCGTTGGACTAGAGCTCAGCTGATTCCCTCTTTTGTGGTCAATTCGCCCACAACTTATCCTGCTTTGCTAGGTAGAGACTGGCTTCACCAAAATGGAGTGATCGCCTCGTCCCAAACTAAAAGGGATCTCCCTTGATTTATATAGTTCGAGCTCCGATTTCCGATCACATTTCCAAATGGACCATCCCAATGAGCTTGAAGTGTTGGAACTCCCCTGGGTTCAAGTCTCAATAGGAACAAAAGTGGGCGTGTGAGTTTCTTGCCAAGGAAAAGGTAAAGGTCTTATGTTTATTTTTTTTATTTTTATTTTTTACAAAAAGTAACCAAATATCAAGCAAGTTATAACACAGAACCAGAAAAACTAATTCCTAAAAGAGAGAACGAGATGAATCCAAATGCATCAAAACCAATCCATAATTACTTTTCTTGCCCTCTAAAATACAAGAACCCCTAGTGTAACTGATACAGCATCAACGTTGCAATGAACACATGCACCCGCAGCAATAATCATTCCAATCACTGAAATTGTATAAACGACCGTTGCAATGGCAACTGCCATCACATTGTGCATCTGCATGTATGTGCACTTGCGAAAAAAATCATTGAGAAAAAGCAATGGTGCAGGAAGAGAGGGAAATCAATATAGACAACATTGATGGGGAAAATTAGGCATTTTTCTCAGTTACCAACAGATGCAAGTGAGATGAAGTAAACAAAGAGAGAAAATATAATGATTGCAAGACATTGCATCTGATATCACTGTTAGCAGATGATTCAAACGTGAAAGGTGGCTGAAAAGTTCAAATCATTGCATACTTCTCTCTTTTCATATTTCAGGTTTTGTATTAAAAAGGAAAAAGTATATTGGTCGCAATAATTAGGCACTCACGTTGTTAAAAAAACATTGACTGGCTTTGTTGTAGCTGAAAGCAGGCAAGTACAAGTCCTAATTTAAAATACACTGGACATTTCTTACATTTAAGTTTCGATGTCGAGCAGCTACAACAGGAGATGATTCTGTTAAACCATATCCATTCTGGACTTTTATATCAATTGCCTGTAAGTACATTAAAAAATGCATGATAGAAGCAATAACTTCATACAAGCTGCTTTAGTCCACAGCAAAAGCACGAGATCTAACCTCAAAAAACCTGTCAACATGAGAAGGCAAACTACCACCCCCACTTACGCCAGCCTGCAGAATGCCACAGAAAGCATTTGCTATATTATCTCTTCAATCCCTTCTTCCCAGTCAATAGTAAATTAATGACAAGTAAAAAAGAAAAAACAGAAGAACTTAGAGATTTCCCAATGAACAGAGAACTTAGAGATTTCCCAATGAACAGAGAAGTAATACAGAAGTGATAACCTCTGTATTTGCATAGAAGGAAAAATAATATCTATGTCTTGGTCTTAGTCAGAGAAAAATGCAGTAAACATAACTGTTACATAAATTTTTCCTACACAAGGAATTGTTTAAGAAAAGATGTAAGAAAATTTCAAGGAATCAAACAATTTTGAGAAAAATGGAATATAATACCCCCCTTTTAAGCCTTGTTCACTGAGGTTTACAAGAGTGTTGCCAGGGACGTTATAGTTAGAAAATGGAAATCCAAATGTGGGTGTACGATTAAGGGTCCTCGTGTAATTAAATAATAGGCTTCCCCACGAGAAAACTTTAAAATTAATTTTCATGGGTGCTTAGGGATGAAATAAATAAATAAATAAAAATCAGAACAATTACGCTTTGCCTCGAGGAACTGAGTAAGCTGTAAAAGCTTAAGTCATGGATTTTACACATTTAAATTTTTTTCACCTGAGGTAATCACTTTTACAGATTGGCTGCAACAAGCTAACAGCATATCTTGGTCCAGCATGAAAGTGGGAAAAAAATCATATTGTAAACTGGGTGCAAAGCAAATCTCAAATTTTGTGAAAGCATCCTCAATTGCTCACTTTATGCAATGAGATTATTGAAATTTATCCAGATGCCTGAAGATGTTGTCTCTTCTTTGGATTAGATGCATAGAAATCAAAAGGCATATTCTTACCTAAGCATGCAGCCAATTTCGATAGAAAAGTTTGTGGTCTTTTCTATACTAGAGGAGTTCTTCTTCTGGTATTCTATTTGCTTCTTTTAGGGACATCTTGTCCTCCAGCCTTCTACTACCTTAAATTAATGATATATTTGTTTCTCATCGAAAGGAAAATATAGCCAATATAATACTCAATTAATAAGAAAAGTTAGGAGTTAAATTATAGGATGTTGGCAAAGACAAATGTTAATAGAACTTAGTGAGATAATTGTGACTGAGATTCAATATTAAGATAAGTGAATATAGACGCTGGAATGAAAATTGTGATTGAAAATAGTGTTGCATATTATTTATTAAACACTAATGTTTCTTATATACATAAGAGTATACATATACGAGGAATGGATAAATAAATAATGTTCTACCAGTATACAACCATATGTGTATATATATATATATATATATTTATGTATGTATGCAATACATAAGGAATCTGCTTGTTAGTATATAATTACTGACTACGAATGAGGAATCTGGTATTATACCGATCGTAGTAAAAATTCAAACAAGGTAAATTATGTGGGCGAACTGTCATAAAAGAAAGCTAAGGAGAGGAGAGTTGGGATTTATAATTTGAAATTCTTATAGTAGGCAGGGATGTGTTCCTTTGAGGTTGGATGTGTTCCCTACCTACTTTTGAATATGTTCCTTAAATGAGAAGTTGGATTTGTTAGTTGCCTATCATTTGGAATGTCTTAAACTAAAAGGAGTAGAGGTAAAACAATCTATAATGCCTAGAGATAAAAGTTAATCAAAAGGAATGACAAAATTCTGGTTTAGACACAAATAAAGAAGTTCAGAGCATAGTATTTTGTAAAGGGCTAGGCCAGTGCAAGAGGCTCCCGCCATTGCGGGGTCGGGGGAAAATCAGATGTACGCAGTCTTACCTCCGCATACGAAGAGGCTGCTTCCTTGTTTCAAACCTGTGACCTCAGGTCACAATGAAGCAACCTTACCGTAACGCCAAGACCCACCCTCACAACATAGTACTTTGTACATATCCAAATTAATTGTGTTACTATGCACCACTTGAGTAGAGGATTTCGGTAGCTCATATATATATATATATATATATCATTTACTACTATAATTTTTCAGTTATTTTGAGAGAGTTGTAGTGAGGTCTTTTATAAATATTGGGTTTAATTTACTATGGTTGAACTATGATGAAGCATGGTTGGTAGTTAAGTTATGGCGCAGTGATTAGTATCCGGATTGTGTTAAATTGGCAGGGAATGATACTTTGTTAGTATTGTGTGTGTGAAACGTGATTCCAAGTTCATGCCCATATTTGATATGGGATAAAGTATCCTTATGTTCAGATTCGGGGCAGGACAGATTGTTACAATTAAGTGTTACTCTATACGTGACATTTAATTAACAAAACAGACCTTTGAAATTCCAATAGAAGAGTGAATTTTACTATAGACAAGCTTCTTCGCCAAAATATGTAGCGGCCACAGTATTGCAGCAATAGTTCTTGCCCATAACCAGTCCAACATTGAGACAAGGGAGGAATGTTGCTTCTGACTTCTTGTAAGAAATTTCCCCTACAAACCGGATTTAAATCAATTTCAGCAACAATTAAGAGGGAAAGTAAGAGTTAATTGCGTCATGGGCAGAAAACAGTTGAGTAAAGTTGTAAGAAAAAAAAAATGTAATTGAGAAGATAATATATAATCCAGTTAAATTGAATTATTGTAACACATGATCTACCAAATGGGACCTATCAGATGGTTCATCTGTATAGTCCCTCTTGATGCAGAAGTATTCCAAAAATTATTGGTTACGTGACTGATCCTGTGATGCTGGTTACAGAAAAAAGGATGTTTCTTATGGTTTATGGACCACATTTAAAATTATATTTATTTGGAGAGGAGACAATGTCAAACAACCACGCAGCTTTATGGTTAGTAGGTAATTTGGTGAAGTTCCCATGTCGAATTGTGAACTGATGCTAAGGTCCCTACTCCTTAGAGGATGGCGAAAAATCACCAAAGATAGAGCATTTTGAAATTGTAGACATTAAAATGTTTGAAGCAATTGCAGACAACTTTCTTCAACATAACATGGTCCTGATCTTACAGCCTTAGTCCCATGTAGGAGTACGTTGTCCATGACCCTTAAAATGAGTGAAAAGGCTTTCAGTAAAAGACTGTCATCAGAATCCCTGTCATTTCAGTCTGCATGCTCGCCTGATTCTTATCAAGGCTATAGATGCTTATCACAGATAAACAATACATGAAACATCATTGAGAAGAATCATTCCAGCATTTCATTATGGTGGGAAGCTGACTTAAAAACATAGCAAGTATTTTTACAAACATAATAACAAATTATTTAAATAAATAAAAGAAGAACAAATATCAACCTCATAAATTCTTTTGAATTCCATGTATGCCAAACTGGTCTTTATAAATAATAGTGCAACAATCTTACGAAGGGCAGAGCTTGTAGAAATCTGCTTTTGAATCGCACTGCAAGTATTAGGTACAATTAAAATTCACTAAGAAGCATGTAATTTACCAAGGAAAAAATAAAAAGAGGCAAGATAATACAAGCCATCCGAGCACGAGGTTCAGAATTCCATTACCATAAAGAATATATATGATTCAAGAACAGCTCCATGGATAAAAAGAGAGAACAAAATGAAATAAGGAAATTGATACAGGTTGAAAAGACATGCTTAAAACAAACATAGGGCATCTACAGAAAATAAAATAATATCTTATGTAACAATCAAGGAAAATCCCAAACTAATCTAGATTAACTTAAAATTAACCAAACAAGGTCACACCATGTGGTGCCACACACCATATTAATAAAAACTTGCACTTGCATATATTATAAAAAGAACTCATCAAGGTGTAAACAACTATTTCCCAAATAAAACTTTTGACACCAAATGACTAGTTAATGGCAGACACAAAGATATGTATTGAAAAGGAAGATTGAACCGAAAAAAAAAAGGAACATAATTAAAAATTATATAGTTTTGATATATCCTTTCAGAAAATTTAGTTTCTTGCAACTTTCCACTTCTCTAGAATCTTCTACTAAGGTTGTTAGAGTTATTATTATTTACCATTAGCTATTACCTCCTTTGGTTATATTACCCTAGGGGTATTATTGTATTTGTCTCATATAAATATATGACCTGGAGAAAGGGCAGATCAATTGCCGTGTACCCTAAACCTTTTCTCTGAACACTTACTCTTCCTCTTCTCATCTAACCCTAATTTTCAGTATTTTGTAATCCAACTTGATAACCAAAGGAGGCAATAACTCTACAAATAAAATAAAATAAAACTGAGTATAAAATACTGAAAATTCAGCTGTAAAATCTTATAAGTTCATAATCCTTTATACATTGCCATTCAGCTGTAAAATCTTATATGTTCTTTGATGTCATTCAGTTTTCGAAGTTAAATCGTGGTCTACCTCTCACTAGTCAAATTCTCACAAATTGCCCCTATTAATAGACATAACAAGCTATTGAAACAGTCATAAGGGTGGGAAAAATATTCAACAGATCAATCTTGTTCATCTGAGCTGCATAGAGGCAACTTATAAGGCCATTCAGCTGGAAGATCACTGTGATCAACCCAATCTCATAAGTAGGATACTAATCATCCATTTGCCTCCCCTTTATATCTAACTGACATTTCTGCAAGGTTTAAGCGATGGCTAATGTTTAAAAGAATTTAAATTTTGCGTTTGTGATCCTTCTTGAAAACATAATTTCAATAGCTATTTATTTGCCAGAGTGACTTGCTTTGAACAAGAAGCAGCTTGAGTTTATCTGCATTTAGGACTGTTTGGACTTTAGAATTAGCTGTGAGTTTACAACCCAGTTCAGGGCAGAGTTCTTAAGTTAATTTTACTTTTCTAGCATGCCAAAGAAGGGTATTCATTTTCCGGTTTAAGCCAAAATGTATTTTAATAATAAATTTTAAAGCATATCTTTTTTCCTTCCCAACTAGATATGCAAGGGAATAGGTTCAAGGTCAGATGATCCGTCATCCCTGATAGATAAATTCAGAATATATATATTTTTTTAATATCAAATTACATGATTGACTGAGTGCTAATCACACTTGGAAGCTTCAATCTCAGGGAGATACAAAACTCCCAAAATTAATTGGCCAGCAATTTTTCTTCTGGGAAACATAAGTAATCCTATTTCCAGATCTTAGCATCAACTACTTCACAGGAATGAATACTTTTGCCATTTATTGAAAGACAAGATGTAATCAAAAAATTCCAACAGCATATATAGACAATCTAGAAAGTTATCGATGATATGTCATTTATTATTAACAAAATTATTTCACTTGTGAAAATTTTAATCAACTCAACAAAGCAATCTGAACATTTTATAGCTCTAAATTTTTTCACAATCTTACATAATAAAAACAAAAGAGGAAATTCTAAACTCGTTAGATAAAATAAGTGATGTTCTCCACTATCTGATTCAAATTCTTGTGTTGACAAAATGAGTACCAAAACATCCCTAGTGATGTCAATACAATCACTATAATCTCAGAGAAAAGTATGTACCTGTGGAGCGTTTCATATACTAAAGGAACAGATATCAGGTAATGGGGCTGATAGCGTCTCAAATCTTCCTGCAATAGAAATAGTTGCAATATAATAAGACAGAATGAACACATATGAACTATTAAATTGAGAAAAAATAAATAAAAATTTGCCAAATTGGTTCAGTTTTATTCCTTTCACCGAAGGATCAAGACTATTAAATAAGAAGCTAGTATCTAATCAAGCAAAAGATAGGAGGCCCATCAGGAACACCAACTTGTTGAAAAAATAATTAAGGTGAAAATTCAATACCCAATTTATTCACACAGAAAATTAACAAGGAATTAATAATACCTTCAAATTTTTCACTGTTGTGTATACTTGCTCAATTCCATGTGTAAATATGAAATATTCACAAGCTCGTTCATATGCATGCCAGGGTGGGAGCATGCTTAGAAATCTATCCGCAGGTTCAGCAGGTACAATGTCCCATAAATTATTTATCTTAAAAAAAAAAGAAAAAACAAAAAAAAGGAAACAGAAAACCACAACAATAAGAAAATATCCTCTAATATCAATAAATAAATAAAATAAGAAGGGGAAGAATATCTAGAGTACCAGAAGAAAATTATAAGGAACAACTTAATCAATATCATTAAAAGATATGCAAACAAAAGAAAATCAAATAGTGACCGAAGTCTGTCTAAATACCAATCTGCAAAAATACAACACATACAAAAAACTACGAGGTCATCAAGAAAATAATATGACTAAATAAATTGATTTATCTTGTGACTTGAGGATCAAGTATTCAACAAACCATGGAGAAGTAGACCGTGTGAGGATTGGATCTGCTGACAGAGACTCGAGCGGAGAGTGGCGTCAATCTGTGTTAACAGATAACCAGGGATTCTAGGGTGAGAATCTGGTGATGTGGTTGTAAAACTTCTTTCTCATAAAGGATTGTTCATGGCTGGATGAGGTCCAGGATTTTCCACATAAAATATCTTGTGTCTTTACTCTATTTATTTATTGCTTTATGCGTTTGCATGATTTACTAATTAGTCAAATTTTAAATAAAAATAACTAATATTTGAAAAGTTAGCATCAACTCATATCCATAAGACCAATTCATCCCCTTCAGGTCTAAAGAACTGTACATACTTTGCCATATCAAAGCCTTCGATAACAATCTCATACTTTTCAATTGGTATCAGCAGGTTACTCAAAATAGAGAGTTATCAACAGGGATAATTACGGATGTTTAAAGAATTAGACTCGGTTGATTTTATTTATTTTGATGGTTATGTCTTCTTTCATTATTTGATGCATATAGTAATTCTAGTTTTTTGGATAATATTTCTGATAGCGACTGTGAAAGGGAGATAAATTTGCATAAGAATGATAATGTTTCTTGTGATGCCTCTAATGATGAATTTATTAATTCAAAATCCCATAATGGATCTAGTTTTAATTTTCATGAAGAAAGGGCTTGCTTTTACTGAGTTATGCATGACTTTCTAAGTTTAAAACTTGAAATTCTAAATTATTGGATAAATTAAATGCAGCAGAACTTAAATCTGGAAAATATAAGTTAGAAATTGCCAGTTCAACAATTCTTATTGCTAGACTTAAGAAAGAAAAGCTACATATATATTATTTAGAGTAAAAGCTCTAAAACTAGAGGCTGTACATCTAGAAAAAGATTTGTTATTATTTCTCTTTTTTCATATATTTACATCTAAAACAGTCTACTTGTATTACGAGAACAAGCCTATCACACAATAGATTTACAATCTTTCCATGTCAGTCAATCTACTTTTCTGATTAGGAATAAATCTTTCTGAATCTTATTTAATCTATTTTTCAGAGTTATTGAATGTCATCTCTCTTTAAGAATTTGTATTATCTTTCTTACATGTACATTAAAGTACCCTCCATTAAATACTCTCACACAAACATTTCTTCAACTAATCTGTCCATATATTCCTGAAATTCTAATTTAATGTGTTCGTCTAGTTCTACTCGAGAGTACACAACTACTAATAATAGTAATTATATTCTTTCTTAATACAACTTTTGTAACCATTCTGTCCCATTTTCAAGTAACAGTTACAGCTCCTTCATACACTATATCCCTAATCAATTTCTATATCTATCTTTTCCAATCTAACTTATCAAAAAAATAAAAAATTAAATTAAAAAATCTATCTTTTCCAATCTAGTAATTTTAATATCATGCATATTCTATTTCAATCATTTTTTCTCCTACCAAATTAGTTTCTTATACTCGTACTATATTCATTCTCTTTCTAAGCATATTATCCAGCAATATCCCTTTACCTGGTAAATGTTGCTATAATTGACATCATTAATCTAAGCCTATTATGTTGGCCTACCTTCTTCACTCATACTTGTGGAGAATAGTGCAGGAACCTTGTTCATTTGTTGCTGCATCTGAACATTGATGCATCATGATGCTTTTGGGAATGTCTTATCTTACCTGTGCCCACTTTTAAAAGCACTATGTTATTGATGCAGTGTTCTGCTTAAAGGAAATATCCTGACATTTACTTGAAGATTTTCAAAATTCAAGGTTCCTAAGGGAGCTAACTAGCTGTCAATTATTGTATGCAACCTCAACACTTTTCTTCTTTTCTTGTTTCAACTTTGAGACCAATTATGTAGAGATAAGACACTAAGCAAGACACAAGCGAACAATAATCCACTCAAGTAGATAAATGAGAACAAGTAGTCTGTTTGGAAGTTTTTAAAGGTGTTTTAGTTAGCACAAAACTGTGCCCATGTTACTCGGCCTTTTCTTCATGCTAAATTTGCATGTAAAAATTCCATATATAGCACAACCTGAAAATCCCCATTTAAATCTTTTATGCCCATGACATATCACTTCAAGACTTTGTCTTAATGCGCTACTGGAAAATAAAGGAGAGCAGGCCTCCATTTCACCGATATGGTATTAGAATTTAGTGACGGACATACTTGAGACAAACCTAACGTGAAAATTAGAATCAAACTAGTAGTTTTTGGATACAACCCCACCCAGAGATAAATAAATAAAACAAAATTAACAATGGAGCAAAAGGAAACATTCAAACCTGGTGCAACAGATTTTTATGTGTGAGCATTACGCCTTTTGGATTGCCTGTTGTTCCACTTGTGTATACAAGTGTAGCAATATCATCACAGCTGATGGCTTCATAAATATAGTTTTTCCCTGAAATTAAGTAAGTACATAATGAAGTTCATCAGCTGTTGGGACTTGAGAGATAACATATTAAACCTAAAATAATGGTTTACTCATCGTGACCAAATTAATTCAACAATAAGATTATAAATAATTCTCAACTAAGTAAATATCCTAAATTTCTGAAAATAATATGGGTTATCTAATATTTTAGGCATTCATATTTTAATATTTTAGTTTAGAGCTAAAACCTCAAAATTTTGAAATCCATTCACCCCCTTCCTTCCAAATTTTATTTAATAATTTGGCACATATATTTAGTTAATACCCACCATTCTTTTAATTCGAACATAATACTCAAAATACACATTTATTTTAGAGTAGTGATACTCACACCAACACTTGCAATGAATTGCCTAACCGAATAATTTTTAATTGGCTATTTATACCAAATACAACTAAGTGGAGGGCTCCACTTCCTTATTTGTTGCATAATTGGCCAATTAAAAGAGTAGGTCTAGCAATTCACTGCAACTATTCGGTGCAAGAATTATTTCCTTTTATTTTAAGATTATCAGCAAATGGAAATCCCAAACATATTAGAGCCATCGACTAGCTGAGATTTGTTATACACATTGTTTCGTTGCGGCCTTCCAATCACCTAGAGCCACTTGGGAGGAAACAAACTATTAGACTTCCCAAATATGTATTATAAAAAAATATAGATAATTATCTACTCACCAGCTTAAGACCTAGATTATTAAAATTTGTTTCTTTGAACTTCTTGTAGACAACCAAGTGCAATTTTTTTCTTAAAAGATTGTGTTATTAGAAATTAAAAGAATGGATTTAAGGAAATATATTTTAAACAAGTGTCCTACAGTTTAATTTTCAAATTTCTAATTTATTGGCCCTGATTGACTTACTAGCACCATGAGAATCAAGCAAAACCATCCGACTTTTGCATCCCAAATCTATGATCTCCTTGAAATTATAAACAGGGAATCCCTCCATTTCTTTGCTACCCAAGCATGATTTCTCGCCCCAAAGTAGGATAACAAATCTTACAGCTGCTCGGGAACAGAAGGTTTCTGCAATCCGGTTGAACAGTTCAGGATTGTCCACAGCAAGTGCAACACTGTAGTAATAGTAAAAACAAAACTAACAATGTTATGTAATTCCATAAAGAATATAGATAAGAAGAAAAACATAATAGACATCATTAAATGATAAAAAGACCGGCTTTACTCATTAGTAGGATATTGATGTGGAAAAGTACTAAATGTACAAGGAAACTGCAACTTAATACATAATTTGAAGGCAATAATCCAAAGCAACGAAATTAGCAATATAAAAAGCTCAAGATAATTTTGTCAAAAACCAGATGAGCAACTAATGTTAACTAGTACATAAAGAAAAATTATATCTTCAGAAGATGAACTCAAAAACATAGAAGACATTGTGCTTCCTACTATTGTTGGTGCTAACAAATATTCTGCCGTTTCCTTCTACAAGATTATTAGTAAAACAAAAACCAGAAATGAGGTAATACAGAAAAAAATAATAATAAAACAAACAAACAAAAAGACCTTATCTAGAAAGAGACAGTCGGTGCGTCACACTAACCATTTAACTTCTACATGAAAGAAAGAAAATTGGCCATTTGCAAGGATGTTAGAAAAACATCACAGAAACACCACAAAAAATCTCTCTCCCCTAGGTACATCACTATGGTGATTAAAATCTTGCTTCCCCCCTTCGTGAACAAATCTCTCAGTTCTTCCATCCCCCAACCACTTAGGCCTAGTAATGAAATGGAATAGGAATGGAATGCAAGTGGGAATGGAATGAGAATAAGAAAGGAATGGAATCGTCATTCTGATTCCACTGTTTGGTAATGATGCTGGAATGGAATGTTTATTACCATTCCAATGTTTGGTTAAACAATCTAGTTGTACAGTATTGTATGAGTTGTCATACGTGTACAGTTAGCATTGTATGAGTTGTCACTTACCTCTCATTACCATATATAGAATTACCATGTATAGGGTTTACTTGTTCTCCACTCACCTACTCCCGTAACTTCTCCTATATAAACACCATTGTATTATTGTATTACTCACTAAATAAGATATACGTTTTCATTTATTCTCTCTCTCTCTCTCTCTCTCTTTCAACATGGTATCAGAGAGAAAATCGATCCCTCTTTAAAAAAAAAAAATTTAGTCTTATTCAGACTCCAATCTTGATTCCATCTTAGCTTTCTCTCAACAATTGCTTCTCGGTGATCTCTCCTCAGTGATCTCAGTTCTCGTCTGGGCAATCTCTCTCAGATCCCTCCTTGGCTTTCTCTCAACAATCTCTTCTTAGCGATCACTCCTCGGTGATCTCAGTTCTCGTCTCGACAATCTCTCTCGGATCCCTCCTCGGCTCTCTCCTCGATAATTTCTCTCGGGTTCATCTCGGCTAGATCTTGGTTCTCTTATCTCAGTTCCCTCTTGCTACTATATCTCATTTGTTCGGCAGCTCTTGTGATGGATACTAAGGAATCCCATCTATTTGGGTCAATCACCAGCACCAAACTGAAAGGCTCAAACTACCTTCAATGGTCTCTAGCCGTAGAGGTGTTCTTACAGGCTCGAGGAAAACTGTCATATCTTAAATCAACCAAACCCACTAGTGATGAAAAGATTATTGAGGCTTGGGAGAAAGAAGATGCTCAGATTATGACTTGGTTATAGAACAGCTTGGAGCTTGAGATCTTCAACAATGTGTCATTCCTAGAATCTGCCAAAGATATCTGGGAAAATCTCAGGGACATGTATTCTTCTCTGAAGAATATTTCTCGTATTTATCAGTTGTACCAGGATATTTTTAATCTCCAGCAGGGAGATCATTCTGTTGAAGATTATTACTCAAAATTGAAGGGCATGTGGGAAGAATTGAATGTCTACCAAATCATTGACTATAGACATAGAACAACAAAAACGACACAGGAAGGAGTTTTGGGTGGCAAAATTTTTATCTGGACTTAAACTCGAACTAGCTTCGATCAGTTCGCAGATTTTGTCTAGCAAGGAGATACCCACAGCAAGTGAGACTTTTGCTCGAGTTCGAAGAGCATCTATTCATGCCCCTGTGATTGAGAAGGATAACCACTCTGCTCTTGTTGTTCCTACTGAGCGACATGATACTTTCCGTGGAGGACGAGGGGGCAAAGGTCATTCCAACCCAGGCCATGGTACTCGTGGCGGAAGAGGGGGTCGCGGCAGCAAGAAATGTACTCATTATGGCCGAAACAATCACTATGTTAACTTCTACTGGGCTCTTCATGGCAAGCCCGCTTAGGCTAATCAAGCTTCGATTTCGGAGGAGATTACTCCCACTCCTGTGAATGAACAAGTCATTCTCTCCAAAGCCGAATATGATTCTCTGGTAAAGCGTGAGCGTGCAAATCAGCCCCTCCTCCACCGTTACTATCGTTACTTTAGGTAAGACGTGTCTCCATGCTTCCTCTTCTACACCTTAGATCATTGATTCAAGGGCATTTGATCACATGACGGGTAATCCATCTCTTCTTTCTGATATTTCTTATGTTTTCTCACCATCGGTTGTTACTATAACAAATGGTGTCACATCACCTGTTCATGGAATTGGTACCTTCCGCACTTCGGGTCTCACTTTTTCATCAGTTTTATATATCCCTGAATTTTCATTCAATTTATTGTCAGTTCGCAAAATCATATTAGATTCAAATTGCTCAGTTACTTTTTCTCCTTCCTGTTGTGTCTTTCAGGATTGCAATACGAAGAAGACGATTAGTAGGGGGTTTGAGAAGGATGGTCTTTACCACTTCCAGCCAACTACTGCTCCGATAGCTCTACATTCCACCTCCTCTTCAACTTACCAGTGGCATTGCCGCCTTGGACATCCCTCTTCAAATAGTCTTTTGAGCCTTGGTCCCTTTTTTAGTTGATTTTGCTAAGTTTAATTGTACTACTTGCGAACTTAGTAAACATCGCCGGGCTACTTTTAAGTCTCGTTTTGATAATAAAGTTTAAAACCTTTTGAGTTAGTACATTCGGATGTTTGGGGACTAGCTCGTACTACAGGTTTATTTGGTGCTCATTATTTTGTGTCATATATTGATGGATTATTCACGTTTAACTTTGGTTTATATTCTTATAAATAGATCTCAAGTATTCTCTGTTTTTCAATCCTTTTATGCTGAAATTCAAAATCAGTTTGATGCAAAATTACTTTTTCTTAGAATTGACAATGCCCTTGAATATACACTTCATGTTTTTCAAAAGTTTCTTGAGTCGAGGGGCATTATCCATCAAACATCTTGTGATGATACCCCTCAACAAAATGGAGTTGTTGAACGGAAGAATGGCCCCCTCCTAGCTATCACTCGTGCCTTAATAATTCAAATGCACGTTCCAAAACTTTTTTAGGCAGATGCAGTTCTGGTTGTTGCTTATCTTATAAACTGCATGCCTTCTAGGGGGTCCTTCAAGGAAAATCACCCTTCTAAATGATGTTTCCTAACAAAAACCTTTTTTCCATTCCTCCAAAAGTGTTTGGGTGTGTCTGTTTTGTTCATAATCTATGCCCGGGATGAGACAAACTTGATCCTCATGCTCACAAATGTATTTTCTTAGGTTATTCTTGCACTCAATAAGGATATAAATGTTACAGTCCAACTCTTCGTAAACAATTTGTGTGTGCAGATATAACTTTCTTTAAGGATGTTCCTTATTATTCCCAAGAAGGCAGTCGTTTAGAGGACTCTATTCTTCAAGAGTCTATTCTTCCAACTCCAGTTTTTGATTCTGACATCCCACCAGCTCTTTGTGTCTATGCTCGTCGCTGAAAAAGAGTAGTTAATCATGTTCCAACGACTGAAGTAGTAAACCCCAACCTTGCCACTTCCACCAGTCGCTTCAATGCCTGGAGATTCTTCCATCTCTCCAGACTCTGATCTTGATCAACCTATTGCAGTTCGGGAAGGTAAACGGTCTTGTACCAATCACCCTATCTCCAATTTTGAATCGTATAATAAATTGTCCTCCTCCTTTCAAGCTTTTCTTTGTCATTATCCTCTATTGCTCTTCCTGAGTCCTACAGGGAGGCACTTTCTCATCCAAGGTGGAGGAAAGCTATGGAAGAAGAAATAAACGCTTTAAAATTGAATCATACTTGGGACCTTGTTCCTAAGCCTGTTGATACTCAGGTTGTTGGTTGTCGTTGGGTTTTTACTGCAAACAAAAGCCTGATAGTACTGTTGACCGTCTCCAAACTCGACTTGTTGCTAAAGGCTGCACTCAAACTTATAGCCTTGATCATACTGAGACTTTTTCTCTTACTGCCAAACTGAATTTTGTTCGTGTGATAATCTCTCTTGCAGCTAATCTAGATTGGCCATTTCATCAACTTGATGTTAAAAATGCCTTTTTGCACGGTGATTATGACTCAACCACCTGGGTTTGAGTCTAAGGGGGAGTGTGTGTGTCATCTCAAGAAGTCTATCTATGGCCTTAAACAGCCCCTTGTGCATGGTTTGATAAGTTCAGTAAAGTAGTGGTAGCTCATGGTATGACCAGAAGCCAGGCTGACCACTCTCTCTTTTTTAAGAAAACGAAACGTGGTATTGTGATTTTTGTGGTGTATGTCGGTGATATCGTTATCACCGGCAGTGACAAAGATGGGATACAAGTTCTAGTCCATCACTTGAGTTCTAGCTTCCTTACAAAGGATTTGGGCAAACTTCGGTATTTAATAGGAATTAAGGTGGCTTGGTCGAAGCAAGGCATTAGTCTTTCTCAGCGGAAGTATACTCTTGATCTCTTACAGGATACTAGATATCTTGGTTCAAAACCTGTAGTTGCACCTATGGAGACTAATGTAAAACTTAAGGTGAATGATGGTGACCCACTCGATGATCTAGAGATGTATCGGAGACTTGTAGGTAAACTTATTTACCTCACAATCACTTGCCCAGACATCTCCCATGCAATCAGTGTTGTGAGCCAGTTCATGGCCAGCCTCACATGGAGGCAGTTGTACGCATCTTAAAGTATCTCAAGGGTACTCTGGGACGTGGTCCCCTTTATCGATCTTCTGGACATCTTCGGATTAAGGGATACACAGATGCAGATTGGGCCGGTTCTCCATCTGATCAACGGTCCACCACGGGTTACTGCACCTTCATAGGAGGAAAACTAGTAACGTGGAGGAGTAAGAAACAGTCAATTGTGGTTCGTTTCAATGTTGAAGCAGAGTATCGTGACATGGCACACATTGCCTGTGAACTTACTTGGTTGAAAACTCTTTTACAGGAACTTGGGATTTCAGTCCAGTACCCAATTCCTCTCCATTGTGAAAAATCAGGCAGCTATTCATATTGCTAGCAATCCAGTCTACCATGAGAGGACTAAACACATTGAAGTAGATTGCCATTTTATTCGATCTGAAGTTGACTCGAATGAGATTGTTATACCTTTTGTTCTTTTTGGTAGGCAGCTGGCAGTCATCTTCACTAAGGCGCTTCCCAAGAACTCTATTGATTCCATATGTAGCAAGCTGGGAGATATTGACATCTCTGTTACATGGACTCTTCAAAAGTAGTGAAGTACCCGTGTCGGACACATATCCCTCGGATATGGGTATGAGATATGTGTCTGACACTTTTGGTTGGACATGTACTTCAAAAAAACATATCCAATCATTTAATTACATTATATTATTACTTTAAAATGAGTTAAATGCATAGTTGTTAAAGGCGCCGGAGGCGGGCGCCTAAGGCGCAAGGCACCTCCAAGAGCCATCATGTCGCCTCCAATGGCTTAAGGCGCTGGGGTTGAATAGGGCGGCTGCCTTTGTATAACAGGCGCAATCCGATAGGAGCACAAAAGGTGCGCCTGCTTGAAAAAGGGAATTTTTTTAATTGTTTTGTTATTTTTTTGGTTTTGTATTGTTTATTATTACTTTTTTATTTGTTTATTACAAAACTTACAAGTTACAAAACAAAAAAATAAAAAGAAAACCAAAAGCAAAAGTGGAAAGAAGAGACAGATTTGCCGGTAGCGAAGGCGATATCTGCGAAGCTCTCGGATCTGCCGGATCTCTTAGTCTCGGTCCTCTCGGATCTGCCGGTAAGTTCTCCTTTTCTCTCCCCTTCTCTTCTTCTTCTCTCCTCCTCTCTCTTCTTCTTCTCTCTTCTCCTCTCCGAATCTCTCGTTAGATTTTTTTTTTTTTTTTTTACTCTTTTCTTCTTTTCTTCTTCTTCTTCTTCTTCTCTCGTCAGAATGTCAGATTTTATTTATTTATTATTTTTTTTTTTCTCTCTTCTTCTTTTCTTCTTCTTCTCTTGGCTCTCTCTTTTTTTAGTTCTTTGAGTTCTTTCTTTTTGAATTTGGCAGATTTTTTAATTTATTTTTATGCTTGTCTAGAATCTAGATGATGTTGGTCCTCTGTTTTTTTTTAGGTTTTTGTGGCTTAGTTGTTGTTTCTATAGATTAGTGCCTTACTACCTTGCATGTGTTCGGTGATGCGCCTGATTGATTTTGTTTACTCCTTATTAAAACAGATAATAGCGATATAACTAATCAATTAATCACTTACCTAAAAATGATTTGAAAAATAGAATCAATCATGGTGCTTATAGAAAATCAGATTGATTTGATTTGAAAATATAGCACATCCTTGATCCTTGTGGTTTTTGCAAGATAAATTCATAATTTCTATTTAATGCATCCAAACATGGTGCTTGCAACTTGCAAAAACGTTTTATTCGTGCTTAATGAAAATTAAATTTGATTTCACTTAAAAGTAATAATTAGCACATCCATGTGATTTTTGCAAGATGAACTCAATTTTTCTATCAATTAATGCAGCATCCCAACATTATTGCATCTTTATATATACTATTGCATCTTTAATACTTTATTGGGTGGGTTTTGTTTTGTTTTTTTTCAACGTGTGCCTTACTTCAGTCGGGCGCGCACCTCGCCTTGCGCCTTGCGTCTCAAGCTCCAGGAGGCATTTGCACTTTTATGCGCCTTGAGCCTTTAACAACTATGGTTAAATGCCTATATTGAACATTATATTAGATAAAAACATTACTTTACTCTAAAAAATAAAATAATTAATAAAATGAATATTTAGCCGTGTCCGTGTGTCCTTCTATTTGGAGATTTGACATGTCCGACGCATGGATACATACCTGTGTCCGACACCTGTACCCAAGTCCATGTAACATAGATTGACATTCTCTCTAGCTTGAGGGGGAGTGTTGTACAGTACTGTATGAGTTGTCATGTTGTAAAGTATTGTATGAGTTGTCATAGGAGCACAGTTAGTATTGAATGAGTTGTAACCTACCCCTCATTACCATATATAGAATTACCATGTATAGGGTTTACTTATTCTCCACTCACTAACTCCCGTAGCTTCTCCTATATAAACACCATTGTATTACTCACTCAATAAGATATACGTTTTCATATATTCTCTTTCTCTCTCTCTTTCTTTCAACACATCTTAAATCCTAGAATATAATGAATTTTTCCCAAAATACCCCTGTAACTTATGACTCACATTAGTTTAACAAAAATCAACTCAAAAAGGGAAAAAAATGAAATTAAAAAGTAAGTGTTAAACAATTACAAACTATAATTATTTAAGAAAAAAATTTAGCTCAATTTTTTTCGAGACATTTTCGAGAAAACTATTAAATTTAACCAAATGCATATATATCAACCAAACAGAAATTGAAGATCAAGTACAGAACTGAGAACCAATGCCTATCCGGTAAACAAAAATTGAAAATCAAATATGCAACTATCAACCAAATTCGTATTGAAAAAGATATATATATATATGTATACATATACATATACATATACTGATATACATAGACACACCAAACAGAAATTGGAAAAAAGTACACATCAATCTAAAATTTTCCTATTACACAGAGCTTGTCCTTGCCGTCTAAACTCACCAGATTGATTTCTTTACAACAATTGTTAAACAAAATTTCAATCATAACATAATCTAATACCCCATACAATATCATGGTAATTCCAATCGTCCATCTAGTCACAATGCTTGCATCAAAGGGCTTTGCAATCACCTTCATCAACATTAAATCCACACACCACCAGATATGAAAGCCCAACCACCTGTAGCCGGTGCCGGCAGAGACGGCCTCTTCTCCAGAGCTCGTCAATCTGGTATGGACATATGTTATAGAGAGAGTTTAAACGAGAGGAACGATGAGCGACAGAGATAGAGAGACGTGAGATATGGGCATGAGATAGAGAGTATAGAGTCAGATATAGAGAGAAACTAGAGAGGCAGAGATAGAAGACGTGATATAGAGAGAGTAAATATTTGGGAATGATATACAGAGAGAAAGTAGAAAAGCAGGATGCCATGGAAGATTTCTAGGTTTCCAGTGTGATGTGTTAAGAGTTGTTTAGGCTAGAAAGTTTTTTTGTCTTTTAATTATTTTTATTTTAACTTTAGTTAGGATTCTTGGGAATGGAATAGGCATTCAATCCTTCATAAAGAGGAATGGTTTGGTTGGAATGGGCATTCCCAGGGAATGACTTGGAATGCCCATTCCACCTTTAATATGGCACGCCAAACAAGAGAAAAGGAATAAAAAGGTGGAATGGCCATTCCATTCCATTCCAGTGTACCAAACTAGCCCTTAATTTCTCAACCAAATTGGAATGGAAAAGTTTAGATAAATAAAAATAATAATAATTAAAAACAAAGGAGTTGTAATCGTAATTGGTAGAAGAAGAATGGAGTAAACTCCACCAGTTAGGAGGACTATTTTACTTACCAAATAAATAAAGGATTGAAGACTGCCTTTGGCTCATTAGCAGGAAATAACTCTTGACCTTCATAAATGCAATCGCTGTACACCGCCATTCTTTTTACCATTGTTAAGAGTAGGCAGAGAAAAAACCATCATGTTGATTTTTCAGCAGATGCCCGTTACACTATTTTAATTCAAAATTTCCACAGATGTACCATGTGGTCATTCTTGTTGCACATATAAAAGAATCTAAACAGTAAAAAGAATTGAAGATCAATAGCGGCATAAAATTCTGATTCTATACAATTGTCCACATAATTCTTCTACGCAATTGTCCACATAATTCTTGAATATTCTTAATGGATTTCAAGCAAATAATTACTAATTTTGTATCAACACTAAAAATAGATCTAATGCTAAAATAGAATTTTATTAATAACGAGGCGGCAATTAAATAACTGGCCTTGTAGGCTAGGTGTTCTGGCCTGTCTGTCAATCTTAATGTGAAGGCTCAAGTCTTGTTGTCACCTACCAAAGGGAATAATAAAAATAAAGTAACAATAATAAAAAGCAATAATAATAATAAAAAGACAACATGCCAGCAATAGAAATACATATGGGTATAAACTACATACACTACTGGTAAAAAGCCAAGGCAATAGGAAGAAAGAATCATACAGACCTTTTACACAAATAACATGAGCTTTCTGGTAAATTAGATGCACATATGATATCACTTTACATACAGTAGGATCTTAAGAGACAATCAAGCCAACAGATTATGAATCTATTAAGAAGACAACAGAAGACTACTTGACAGTTGAAACAAGCAAAAGAACATACATCTTAAAGTAAACTTCTTCCCTGACCTTTCAGAATGATTGTATATTTGCAACAGCTCTTCAACAGATGACCTTGATCCCCTTACCACATTTATTGCCCCCGTGGCCATTATACCTAAAATCAAATTAATGCATAACTCCATCAGTTTCAATTATAAAAAGTCAACTATCAATATAGAATTTATAAATACTAATTTTATATGCACATTCATGTTTCATAGATTATGCACATCAACAAATTCAACAATAAGTCCATAGATTATTGCCTATGGACACTGTAAATATTTACCAATCAATTCAAAAGGAACCTTTTACAACCAATTAGTATATAAAAGTTACTTTAACAATAAAGATGGTAAGATGTGATGAAAACACATCTACAAATCCAATGAATTATAACAATAATATAACCTATGCTTAAGCACCAATTAGTTTTATAGTCCAATAAATGACATCAGCTAACCCAAATATTAAAATTAAGGGTAAATTACACTCACACCCCCTGAGGTTAGGTCATTCTTCAGCTAGATTAACATTTTGGTTTTAAATTTCACTTACATTTGAATTAGTGGTTTAGCATTTCACTTACACCCCAAATGTCAATTTATGGTGGGGTCATAGTACTTTTGAGGTGTTAAATGACTATGCTACCCTTTGACCTGCTTTTGAATATTTTTGTGACCAAACTATTCGCAACATACACCTTTCCTCCTCCTTCTCCTCAGACCATCATCCAATTCACCCCTCAACTCCACCCATCAATCTCATCCATATATATATATACACACACACATGTATATCTATATATATACACACACACACACATGGAGGGCTGCGAATCAGGGGGCGGCCGGATCGTTTTGGGTTTTGGATTGGAGGTGGTTGTGGCCGGGCGAGCTTGGAACAGTGGTTGGGAATCACCGGCGACGATGGCCTCGGAGAACCCAGATACTCTATCTCGATGCCAAGATTGCGAACCCAATTCCAGAAATTGTACAGAGATCTGTCCGCCATATCTGATTCTCTACAGTTCAGGCACCACCGGCAGAATCACGCTCGTCGAAATCCTAGATTTGCTGAGGAAGAAGGTGCCCAACTTCTTCGTCGATTGTTCTCTCTTCTCTTCTCGTCAACCGCCACCGGAAACATCGACGCTAGAGCGCGGCAACTCTGCCTGTCTTGTTTGGATCTGCTCTTGCTTAGGCTCCAGCTGCTACACCGACCCTTACACCGACTACTTCTCCGACTAAGTCGCTGGTGGCGGCTTCTGCTCCCCAAGGTATGTCGAAGGCGAAAGTCTTGTTGTGCGTTCTTGGCTTTCAATTTGGGGTTTGGATTTGGGGTGTGGTGGTGGTTGTCACCGGCGACGTCTCCGGCTGTGGTGGCGATGGCATGGGTGTGTTGGTGGTTGAAGGGGTGGGTGAGAGAGACCTATGGAGGAATGGGTTTCTGGTCTGGGATTGAAGGGGTGGGATAAGGATTGTGGTGGCTATATCCTTGCTGTAGTTGAGCCATAGATTGGGCTCCGGCGACTAGTAGCGGTGGAATAGAGGGCGAGAATCAAAGGTTGGAGGACGTAATCGGCATCAGAGGAAGAGAGACCGCACAGAGGAGAAGAGGAGGTTGGATGGATGAAAGAGATGAAACTCAAAATTGTAGAGGAGCCTTAATGTCATTTCAGATTAAAGATATTTGTATTAAAATTTTGAAGGTAAAAGGGTCAATTCGTATGTGTTTGAGGCCAAAAAGTAAATTGGGGTGTAAGTGAAAGTTAAAACCAAAATCTTCATCTAGCTAAAAAATGACCTAACCTCAGGGAGTGTTTGTGTAATTTACCCTAAAATTAATTATCTCCTTCTTCGTCAATAGATTAATAAAATTTACCAAAAAGGAAAAACTTTAGAATCCAATGTCCACCGTTCCATCATTTAAAGTGCTTTTGGATGGCAAGAATTCGAAGGAAATGAATGGAAAGGAAAAGGAGAGATAAATTATTTCATGTTTGGTTTAAAGATGACAGAAAATTAGATAGTGTTGTGTTGCAAGCATATCTCTGGACCTTGATCTCAACATAGGAGGCATGAACATCTTACTTGCATATTGGGGACCACTTTGGAAGTAGGGTGAGATTTAGGTCTGTTTATGACCACACCTTAGGGCATGTCACAAATGCACATGGACTCTTCTATCTTCTTTTGTGTACCCATGTTGTCATGATACAACATGGGTATGGGTATGGGTATGGGTATTGGTATGAGATACATATTTGACACACAAACCCAAATCAGACACCCCGATCCTTCACATGTGGTGATTGAAAGTAAACAAGATTACAAGAATTTCCTATTCATGGACAGAAACTCCTCTTCTGCCATATGGCATTTAACTTAAATCATAATTGAAATTCTGAGTATATTCTTAAAGAACAATAATATGAGGCATTACACTATCTATATAAAATTAAATTTGTGGTACATGTCTACGTAATTGTATCTAAATTTTGGAACACTTCCTGTGTCGAGAAGAAATACAAGGCAAATATGTAAACGCTTGAATGAGAATAATAATATGTAAAGGCTTGAATGAGACAAACAGTCATTCACAACTGTGGTATTTATATACTAAAAAGAGCACATGTTAATATTACAAGAAAGGAAGTTGAATAAAATCATTGCATATTCCATGCCTACACGTATGCGGAAATAAAGTCAAATCCCATGATTCTAGCCTATCATATCCAGCTAATATGGTACAAGTTACATCCATGATTCTAGCCTATCATATCTCAGCTAACACTCACCTCAAGTTGGTGTGTGGCAATGTGCATATCTAAGACGCCTAACTTGGACAATGTATCTTCAAGCATGGTCTCGCTAACACCCTTCATCAGAATGTCTACAAGCTGCGAAGTGTAAATCTGACCGAAGAAGATTTTCTCTCAAATTAAGTGTCGTTCAACTAATCAAAGTGTTTCCTCAAACCATAAACAACCAACAATGTCTCCTCCAAAATACCAGTCCCCTTCATACACATTTTTAAAATATGTAGATGGAAGATTCAACAATGTCTCCTTAGACCATTCCTCTTCATACACATGTTTAAAATATGTAGCTGGAAGGATCACGAATGTCCATCAACAATGTCTCCTACATAACAATGGCGTTATCTCCAAACCACCGTGGATATATCTTGTCTGACTCGACTGGGGCCTCTTCAAACCATAACCCATCAATGATGTCTCCTCAGACTATTCCCGAATGGGTGGTGCCAAACTCACAACACCCTCATTGAGGTCACACTACCCTCACTCTGATACCAAGAAGAAATACAAGATAAATATGTAAAGGCTTGAATGGGAATAATAATATGTAAAGGCTTGAATGAGACGAACACTAAATCATGGCACTGGTATTTATATACTAAAAAGAGAACATGTTAATATTACAATAATGGAAACTGAATAAAATCATTGCATATTCTATGCCTAGCCATATGCGCAAATAAAGTCAAATCCCATTATTCTAGCCTATCATATCCCGCCTAAAATGGTAAGTTACATCCATGATTCTAGCCTATCATATCTCGGTTAACACTAAGATTTGGAATTTGAGAAGGTCTGATAATTAAGACACACGCCTGCACCCGATACTCATAAATAAGTCCAAGTAACCTAGGTGATCATGGGAAAAGCCAAGATGTTTATTTTGCTTGGAGGGACTGAATTGCACATGTCAAGGAGGTGGACCAATAAGGTGTAACATAAGCTTGTTGTGCCACTTGATGAGCGATAGATGACACACTTAGATTTAGGCAGTAGCCACATGCCATGGTATCATGAGGACATGTGGCACATGGAAGGAAATTCTACAGCGTGTAAAATAAGACATCAATTGGAAGCATTAGTTTATTACAATGGTTTAACAAACAAGAAAAAATACATAATGGAAGGAAAGAAAACTCAAATATGATATGCAGAAATAATATTAGTTTACTTATAAATAACAATTTCAAACATGAAAGTTAGAGAGAGAATAAACCACTGTATACCCTGATCTGCAACGAGCCACCGGCATGAATTATCAGCAAAAAGTGCAATCTTTTCATCTGGTTTTAATCCAATAACTCTTAGGCCTTCTGAAAAGTCCAAAATTTCCTGCTCGAGCTGCAAATTTCAAAAGCGAAAATGTTTCTCCGATGAAAATTATGCAGAATAAGTGAGAAACTGTTTTTTTTCCCCTGAATGGATGAATTTTATTAAAGTAATCAACATGGGAGTAAAACAACTCAGAGGGCATACCCTCTAGAAAAACAAGATCACATAATGATAGGAGCAGACACCCCTACTCAAGAAATTACAAAACCAACACCCTACAAAAATAGAGGCAAGTCTTCTACTCTAAGATCTGGACTGATTAATTAAAAATAAAGTTGATCCAGAAAGTTCTTAATTGATCTTGAGAAATTGATTTAAAATAATTCACGAAACTAGAACTAATCTGGAATTTGTTTGATCTTGATAGAAGTTTAAAATTGAATATTATTTTAATAGGGAATGAACTTGAAAAACTTTATTTTGGTTAAGAAGCTTAGATTTTAAGTTTACAGTAGAAGTTGTATAAGAAGTAGATTTTGACAAGGATTCGAAGTTGTGAAAACTTACCTTTGTGCCTTCAGAAAATCATTAAAGCTATGTTTGGTAGCATGAAATTGGTGACTTGGAACTGGAATCGGAATCGAAAGAAAATTAGTTGAAATGTTAAACTAATTTTCCTCCTATTTCAATCCAAGATGACAAATCCATACTTCCCAAAGCAACGTAAAATAATCTACTTAAAATCTTGTGATAAGCTTTATATATTTAAAAACATAGACTCGATAAGTTTTTCAGCAATACATTATATGCCAAATTTTGAGTTAGTTGACCCTTCAACGAAGCCTCTCAAGTAAGATTATCTTCAGTGAAGATCCGCAGAAATCCTGAATCAATCCAACCTTGATTTAAATCAATTTCATTCACTCCATAGTGCTATGATCAGAACACAGATCGATCGAATTATCAATCAGGATTGCTGTAGTTTTTGGGATCGATAGACAATTGCCCAGAGTTGGTAAAATATGAGCTTCCTTATCTGAATTGGTCTTTAAACCTTCCTAAACTAATCCAAGCCATTCCTAATCCATCTTTAATCATTCCAACACTATAAATAAGTGTCTTAGGGTTCTTCTGAGCAAGAGAAACATATTAAAGATGACTATGCCATATGTGAGAGAAAGAGAGTACTTATCACACAGTAGGGTTCTGAATAGAAAATCATATTATTCTATTATGTGATTACGTGCCAAATCGAGGAAATTTATTTGAAACTTGAAGATCATCAACCACAACATTGATCCATCAAAGAACAAAGAGTTGATTCACAAGAGAGCAAACAATTACTATAAGAAGAGCGAATCGCATTGGTGAATCAATGTAATACTTGACAGCAATGAAACTCGACTGGAGTACCTAGCGTGAGTTTGGATAAAAGTTAAAATCAACACATTTGATTCTTAGGGAGAAGATTCTGGACCTAGGGTTATACTCCCTTCTATTATAGTGGACTAATTGTGTCTGGTTGGGTTTTATGCAAATTTCTACACAAATGTCTATGCTTTTAATGTACTTTACTTTGCTTAGGTTTAATTGATCAGATGATTATTCACATGAACATGATTAATTAATTGAAACTGGTTAAAATAGAAATGCGCAGAAATTATATCTGTGTGCATATGACCTATTCACCCCCTCCCCCTCCCTTTAGGTCCGATTGAACACATAACACCTATTAATATCACGGATATCATTTTTCCACAGGTCCTACCTGAGGTGATGGAGATAACGGGAGTGTCAAACTGTGAGGTGGAGGCTGATATGAGTGAAATTTTGGCAGTAAGCTCTAATTAAAAGAGTATGATGGTTCCAGTAATAGATGCGTTGTGGTGAGGGTAAAAGTCCTTGACCTGAATGATTCACTATTCTTATTTCTTTACATCTCAGGTTGAGGCGACTGGAGAGGATGCACATAAGGGGAATGGAAATTTACAAGAACATTTAAGCATAATAGTTAATCTATTAGTTCTGCCATCTTCCTCTTCACAGATTTAGTAATAAATTTTATTTTGCCGGTCACTGAAAGTCTCGAGTTCTCTGATATACAACATATACAACTATTATATGTAGAGGCAGCCAAGTAAATGACGAAGAACTGACCTGCTTATAAGTCATGTTCGTAGGAGGGTCATGATATGGATCTACCAGAGCGACCCGATCTCCAAATCTTTCTGCTGAAGACCTCCAAATGTCAGGAACTGTTTTCCATTCTCCAGAGGCTAAGACACCATCTCCTGACAGTAATACACTTTCTAGAAAAGGCGAACATCTTCTGATCTGCACTTCTTCTGACTACAAAAGGAAGTTGTGAACAAACATATGGTAACACCTTTCCTCTGCACTTATACCTTCAAATCATAGAATCTAAAAGAGAGAATAAATGCTTGCATCGATAAAAGATTAATGCTTTTAAATTCTTTCAACAAAAAAAAAAAAAATGATCAGCAAAATAAACCAAATAAGCATATGGCAATAGGATCATCACAATTCTGAGACTTTCCAAGTCCTACAGTAATTGAAAAGGTTCTTCTTATGCAAGTTTACTGCTATGACCACTACTGCTCCTTGGGGAAGTTGTGGTCCAAAATGCAATATTTCAATTCTATACAGCCTTTGAGCCTGTGTACAGAGTAAAATAAGGCTTAGAAATATGTGAATCCAAAATGGGATATGATGCACACTAGTCGACTCTGGCGCACTAAAATTTCGGAGGTCAACAGATTTTAGCGGATTCTACCAACTCTTGACCTGTTTTCTTATACCAGGAAATTTTCAGCAGTTTTAGAAATTGAATTTGATTCATATTACATAATTATGTTACGCAAGACTAATATCAGTAAGTGCCTAATGTTTTTATGGTTTTCTAAAGCTTAAAGTGGAATGAGGTCTTCTTCAATCTTATATTCTCTCTTCTTCTCATCGGTCTCCATCTCTCTCTCTCTCTCTCTCTCTCTCTCTCACACACACACACACACACACTAAGCTTCCATTTTGTGTGGTCAATTAGGTATGCTAGATGACCCAGAGAAATCCCATATACCATTGTGTTTATATTACATGAGAGAGAAATGTAAAAGAAAAAAAATATGGGTGTTTATAGTTACACGAGAAAAAAATGCAAAAGAAAACAAAAAATGAAACCTCTATGAAAAATTGTCCCGTATGTTACATGGACTAGGGTACGTGTGTCGGATACGGGTATGTATCCATGCATCAGACGTGTCAAATCTCCAAACAGAAGGACACACGGACGCGGCTAAATATTCATTTTATTAATTATTTTATTTTATTTTCTTGAGTAAAGTAATGTTTTTATCTAATAAAATGTTCAATATAGGCATTTAACTCATTTTAAAGTAATAATATAATATAATCGAATGTTTAGATATGTTTTTTAAGTATATGTCCAACCAAAAGTGTTGGACACATATCCTATACCCATGTCCGAGCAATATGTGTTGGACACGGGTACTTCACTACTTTTGAAGAGTCCATGTAACATTAGTCCCTAAAGAAGCAGGATTATGTAACATCATATAACGACAGTATATATATGTACAGTTATTTGCATTTTATTTATTTTTTTTAGGCAAACAAGCAACTCTCCCAGCCAAGCACCCCTTGGACTTGTGGCTACAACATAAACAGCAATGTTTTTACTTTAGAATGTGTTCAACACTATTTCGAAACTTGTTTGGTAACGTAAATTTATTACAAGATTTTTAAAAGCAAAAACGTGAAAGCATGTTTGGTAAAAGTGTTGCAAGCTTGAAAATTTGAATGGCTAGTTAAAAATGTTATTTTAGAAAATACAATTTTTTTATAAAAAATAAATAAATAAATTTGAACAGTGCTTTGCTACAGTGCGGAAGCAAACAAAAGCATCATTTTGATGCTTCCGATTTTGGCCTCAATTTTGGACGTGCTTCGGTACTCAAATTACAGCAAACATTACCAAACATGCTTTGTACTTTTGTTTCACTACAATACACTAGCAAAAGCAAAAAACATGAAGTAAAAGCATTAGCCAAACAGGCCCTAAGGGTATCGCTTAAACCAGAACTAGAACTTGAGACCTCAAGATAGTAATCTTGAGACCCTCCCATCTGAGCATTCATGAAGGATGGTGGTGCCAAAAAGAAGAAGAAAAAATAAAAGCAACGTTCTAGTATATGTTAGGGTCTTGTTTTGGATCAATCTACAGCTCTTACTAGACAAATATTGGAGAGTTTCTTCTATCTCTTCTCTTTTTCTCTACAGATCTATTCCAAACTTATACAAATTGCCCGACTTTGGCAACCCCAAATCTTGTAACATTCTTTGTTCAAACTTTGCAAAATTTTGGACAAACTTGTACGAAAACTTTTTTAATATATATATATTTAATGAATCTAAATTTTTTTAAACATCTTCTCTAGTGTTTGATCCCTTTTGCACAGTTTGTGAAAAAAATCTCAGATATGTTTGGTGCCAAAATTCCATGTGGGCGACACAAATGGACCAATGGGTCCTGCCATTGGCACTACATGATCTGGAGCTATAGTTACATGGATTTGGATGCATCCATATGATTCCAACTTTCAATTTAAAAAAAAAAAAATCAAATTTTCAATAAGCAAAGGGATTTGGTAACTTATGGAATAGGAGTAATTTAGTAATTTAATTTTCTGATAAGTGCCCAGGCTAGTATCTTTTTGTTTTGGGTTCTGTTTAGTCCTTTACTTGTTAGCAATAAATTGAGTCTATTTAGTTCAAAATTTTCGTTCTCTAATTCAAAAGTTTTTATGCTTATACTAAAGTGTGTATTTATAGAGACAATAAGACAACTATGATTAATTAAACTGCTAAACATGTGTACAAAAATCAGATTATTAACTTTCCATGTATCATATTTAGCGTGCACAGAAGGTAAGAGCCAACTAGGCTGACCAAAACTAAACTGAAATGAAGTAATTCAAAATGACTTAAAAAAATTAAATATTAGAGTACCACAGAAAACAATATAATAGAGTGGGAAAAAAAGAATTCATGTGCCCGACCCCATTCTTTTGGAAAAAGGGAAGGATGATAATGATGATGATGATGTGTCATATTTAGGTAATGTTTGATAAAACTGAGCTAAATTTTATGTGCTGGAATATTTAAGTGATAATTAAAAAAATATATATAGATATCTCTTTGAATGTTCAGAGTTAAGCATTCCGTGTCAGTTAAAATTTTCCCTCATTTACAGTTTTCAGTGATATTCAAATTTTGTAATCCAACGCACTTAATTGAACAAGTGATTAATACTGCTAAATTGAGTTAGTAGGCTCTTATCTTTACAAAGCCCGTCCCAAGGCCTAAAAAAAGGAGTAAGGTTGACTTATTTTGCTTTACAACTGGTCGGATCAATATGAAGATATATTATAAGAACAGAAAATATAATTCATGTAACAAGTCAACCCCAACTGGTTGGTAAACAAGGCTTTATTTGTCAATTTTTATGTTGTTATACAAAAAGTAAAATTATTGACTTCCAAGAATGCAAACAACACAATTATGGTGAGACATAATTGAACCAGCAATTTAAACTCCCAATTCAATTCATACAAAAAAAAATAATAGTAAAAAAAATATCTTTTATACAGCTAAACAAGAATTACCTTGGATTCGCAATACACTCCAAGTCTTTGACTCGAACAAATCCTACCCGAGCGAAGTTTTCTGCAGAAGATCTTCTGGCTGATGAGTCGAGGGTGAGAGAGTAGTAGGAATTGAAAGGCGTGTCGACGATCGGAATAGCTCGAAACAAGGTTGAAGGTTGAAGAGATCGTCGTCGCCATTTCAGACTGTGGATAAAGGGATTGTCGGAGATAAGGGCGTTGTTAAGAAGTGTGCAGTGTTGCTAGAGAGAGAAAGATGGGGAGAGAGAAAGATGGGGCGGAGATGGCAAGTCCGAGAGGTGGACTTATTTTGGTTGATAGTGGAAGTCGGAGCATTATTGAAGTTTCCCCGACTATGATGGTAGAGGTGGGAATAAAATAGTGATTAAGATTCAAATCGTCCATGGTGGTATAATTGTGATTATTGTGATCACCTTTGGGATTGTGCCGTGACGACTTTGGGGACTGTATCGGTAGTTCGGTACACACAAGCAATCAAGAAGTAATCGTTCAACACCGCCAATCAAGGGCTAGTGGGTCTCACATCAGGACCGGGACCGAGCCACATTGGACCCCCCTCGCTCTATACATTTATACTATATTTTATCATTCATTTTTTATTACTATAATAAGAAATTCAAGCACTTATTACTATATAGGAATTTATGGAGTTCTAGTTTTATAATTTATTTTTTAATAAAATGGAATGATCATTCTCATTCTATTATTTGACTGTAAATATAAAATATGTATGAATGAAATGATAATAATTATCAACATGTCAGTGACTTAGTGGTATTGGCCTCTTACCTTATAAAGGGAAGTCAGAGTTCAAGTCTCACAAAAGATGTTTGTGTGAGTACCAATTTGGAAAAAAAAAAAAAAAAAAAAAAAAATTATCAATTTGTTGTTTGGTTGGACCAATTTAAAATTTAGAATGGAATAAATTTCAAATTAAATTCTCCAAAATATCATTTTTAGTAACAAATAAATTAAATAAAAAAAAAAATTAATTAACAAAATGAAATTCTTCTATAATTTTTTAAAAATAAATAGTGACAGTGGCAGTGCTGGAGGTGGAAAGCATTAGTGGTGTAGGTGGTTGTGTTGGAAGGCGGTGATGATGGCAATGGTGGAAGGCAGTGGTGACGATGGGGGTGGAAAGCGACAATAGTGTTAGTGGAAGGCGGTGACAGTAGTGTAGTGGTGGTGGTGGAAAGAAATAGTGGTGTAGGTGACGGTGGTGGAAGTCAATTGAGGTGGAAGATGGTGGTGGTAGAAGGCGGTGATGGTGGTGGTGGAATGCAATGGCAGTGGCAGTGGTGGAAGGGGTGGTGGTGGCGGTGGTGGAAGGGGTGGCAGTGACGGTGGTGGTGTTGGCGGTGGTGGAAAACGGTGGCGACGATGGTGGTAAAAGGCGGTGGCGATGGTGGTGGTGGAAGATGGCCGGTGATGGTGGTGGTGGAATGAGGCGGCAATGGAAGACAGTGGCGGTGGTGAAAGGCGGCGGCGACGGCAGTGGTGATGGAAAGTGGTAGCGGTGGAAGGCGGTAGCGATGGTGAAAGGAGGTGGCGGTGGCAATGGTGGAAGGTAGTGGAAGGTAGCGACAGGGGCAACTCGATGTAACTCAAGGCCTTAAGCTAAAAATAAAAAAGTGGCATTTTCATATCATAATATGTAATATATTAGTATTAAATAATAATTAATTAAAAATCATTCATTTTTTTCTTTAATGAATTGTTGTCATTGCACAAAATCAAAATTCAGTACAATATTGGATATGAGGGCATACCCACATAGAGTTATCTAGCCAAAATAGGCTAGTGAAAAACACCACTTCCAATACACATGAAAAGAGGTGAAGAAAAGTGTAATGTTTTCGATTTTTCTCATTTTTCATTTTTCGGGATTTTTTTGATTTTTTGAGTTTGTTTCTGTTTTGTCTCGTTTTATGTGCCGGACACCGTGGGGTGTGCCAAATGTATCCGAGTATTGGTTGGGGCATTTCCTTGAGTTCGAGACTTTTAGAAATACAATGGTTGTCATTTTAACATTTTTTCGTTTTTCAGGCCGGGAGGTCCCAAGTGGGACTTGCTACTGGAGTTATTGTATACGGGAATTTTATCTTGGGTTCATTGCATTTCATCCATTATTATTTAATGCATTTATATGTGGTTACATGTTTATATGTGGTTGTATTATGTTAGTTTAGTTATATAAAAGTGTAATGAGATATTTGTTATTTCATGCCCCATAAAGCACTACGACAATTAATATCACCATATATCATTTGTTGCCATTTCTTCTTCTAGAGTCGTGGTTAAGCTCTCTCTCTTTACAAGAAATCCTTCTCTCTCTAAATCACATTTATTTGAGCCCAAATTTCAACATTTTCACTTGGATTTCAACTTTGTCATAGAAGGTAAAGTTGATGAGCTCGTTGAGGGCTTCGTTTTGATCGGAGCTAATCTTGGTTTTGCCACTCTTGGGATTTCGAATTGTGGGCTTAATTTGGTGTTTTCTTCATTAATTGAGGTTGGGGTGCTCTAATCCATGAATTCTTTGGCTTTGGTGAATTTCTCTCTTCAATTTGACTCTAAGCATGTTTAAATTGGTTATTTTGTTTATGGCTTTGAGGGTTTTATGTATAAAAGTGTTATATGTGTTTCTTTAACTGAAAATACAAGTTATTTGGAATGATATGATGAAGCATGCTAAACTGAAATTATTGTATGCCATGTATGTATATAAATGCTGAGATTTCATTTTTTGTTAAGTCATGAGATAATCCCTTCTAAATTTTCTTGAAAGCATGTTGTATAGACATTATTGTGATGGAATGCAAATTATAGAAAGTTATGTATTTTCATGGCTTAGTATGGCATGAAGCATTCATGCATTTTTATTTTCCTGAATATTCATGCATTACCATTAGGAAGGAAAAGGGAAATATGTTTTGAAAATTTTCCCAAAAATCAATTTCATTTGCTTTTCAAAACAAATTTCCCTTTTCCTTCCCAATGGTAATGCATGAATATTCAGGAAAAAACCCGGGCGCCTAAAAGTTGCCTAGTGGTCCACGACGTTAGTGTGGTCTAGAGGGGACTAGGGAGAGACTCTAGCGAGGTTAAGCTACCTAGGCCTGAAATGACGCCTTAGAGTTGCCAAGGGTCGGATTGCATTAACAGTTTGGAATGGTGAAACGGAATTCTTTTGGAAATTGGGGAGCGACATTGGCATAACATTGAACACCATTGGCATACATTGTGAATTATGGTTGGATGACATATATATGCTTGTTGTGGTTGTTGTTGCTTCGTTACTCCCATGGCGTGACCTCGTTACTATTACTCTATGCTTTGTGTGGATTCACGGGGTTATTAAGAAGTGTGTCTTAGACACCTCCTACTGAGTCGTTGTGCTTACCCCATTACTTTAATATTTTTTTCAGGACACGGGAAAGAAGTGGCGGATGACGATCCACCATAGGCTTAGATTGGGTTGGAAGCTTACTTTTGTTATCTTTTGTAAATGGAACCACAATCTTTTGTAAAACTTTGATGTAATTTACATAATGCTGTAATTAGTAACCCTGTGGGCATCGCTATGTTTTATGAACTGTAAATTGTTGTATTGAAGGGTTATTTCTTGCAAACGATTATGGAATCATGTAATGAACAATGCTGATATATGTTGAATGAAGTGGAGGAATGGGATTCTTTTCATATGTATACTATTGGTGTTGAATGGGGAGGGTTATTGCTTTTATTTTGATGTGTTGGGATAGGTTTAGAGTAGTTTTAAGGTCCCAAATAAGGCCCATACTCTCTTTGTGTTCTTATATCAGGTTCAACAACAGATTCATTTCACAGGGTCATTTCGGTTGACCGGAATGGAGTATCGATCGACCGGTATCTTTTGGGCTGCATTCTAGTAGCCATATCATTTTGTAGGCACAACCAACAGACCGATACTAAACCTCGGTCGACCGGTATGCCCTTCACTTATGCATCTTATCCTTTCTTCTGGTGTGTGTATCCCTAGGACTTAGGATGTTTCCTTAGACTATCATAGAGCAAGTTTATGATGTAGATATGACATATTAGTGGTGTATTGACATTGGATGTAGTGGTGTTGACTTAGATGACCTTGGGTTCGAGTAAGGACCCGGTTAGCGATTTGGACCCTTGGGTTCAGGTCGTTACAAAAAGAACAATTACAAGCCTAAGACTCAACATGAAGATCATCAAAAGAGATTACAGCCACATCTATCACCTAAAAAACTATTGATCTAGCCACATCAGTAGCACTTCTCTGACAATTCTGATGTAATCTTGAGTTCTTTTCCTTCCAAATGTACCTGAAAGATGTGGATAGCAGCATAAACATAATCTTTGAGGTCCCAGCCTTTTGCACACACCATGCCAACAAGTCTTCGAAGGACTGGCAGTGCATATTCCATCCAAACCAAGAGTTGAAACAATCCCAGTACTTAGAGGCAAAATCACAGTCCAAAACGTATGTTATCTGCTATCCAACCCATGATAACAGTTATATCACATAACAGCCCCTCATTTGCAAGTTTGATTATGAAGGATATCTATCATGAAGAATAATGCAAATAGTGAAATTAGTGCTGATCCGAGCTTTATTCAAGCATACTTTTCCCTAGAAAACTTGAGGATGATAAGTTATGCATGCATCCTATGCCCTTTTAAAGGAAAAGGTTCCCTTATTCCATAAAAATTTATCATTTTCCTGATGTAGGGGAAAAGAAAAAATATACTCTCTTATTTCCTGAAATTGCGAGTGTAATAAACTGTCTAAAACCCAAGTGTGATCCTGGATCAAGGTTGCTAGTTTTGAGTCCATGTCAAGAGAAGACATCCTTACTATTCTATACCCAAAATTTTGCACAAGAGTTTGTCCATCACAACATAGATCTTGAAATAGGGTAAACTTATTACCATCAGCAATAGAGAGTTAGATATTCTGCAACTGACAGCATGTGTTTCCAAATTGTAGAACTAGATGACCTAGGGACAACATTCCAAAAGTTAGCCCCTTTGGAATATTTATCCTAAAACCGCCTAACCAATAAATTGTCCTTGTCATTAATAGAATCCCAGGTTAGAGAGCAAGCAACAGCAGATTGAAGATCACAAACCAAACCCCCCTTCAGCTTTAGGTCTAGTTGCTAGCTCCTGACTCATGTGATGTATCTTGGAGGCTCTATCAGTGTTTCACCATAAGAGCCTCTTGCGTTTTCTCTGAATGGAGTTAGAAATAGCAACAAGTAGTCTAAAAATTGAACACCAATACAAGATCATTAGATAAATAACAATCTTAATCAATTCAATTCTTCTTGTAAGAGACAACATCATAATTGACCAAGTAAATAGCTTGAGAGTAATC